TGTGTATGCTATTAATACTTGACATTTTTAAAATCAAATGATCGTTTATAAGAGTGGGTGAAAAACGTCGTCGTAAAGTTTTTTTTAATTTAAAATTATAGTTAATTTTTAATACGTATATACTTTTATGAAAAAAATGTACCTTCCAATTCTCAAAATAATTTCTTACAAGTGTAATTAAAATTAATTTATTGTAAATTCGACGGTATAACACAATGAATGTTTAAAATTTAAAATTAATTTTTTTTCAAAGTTTTAAAAAAATTAATTCAAAGTTTAAAAAGATTCTGGACATTTTTCAGACAAATCTATTTAACCTAGCTCACACCTAACCTAAGAAACAAAAATATAAGTAAGTAAAGTACTTAGTAGTAGTATTTTAGCAACTCCGGCTCTAGCTCTTGATATAGTAAAAACAGGATAGTAGGACGGCTCCCGCGCCGCGTGAACTTAAATGCCTACCGTTGCAGGGCTGTCATTGTCTTTTTGTTCAACAGCTAAGTCTCATTTAGTTTTATAAAACTAAATGAGACTTAAGTGAAACTTTGTTAAACTACTTATAAACTTATAATTTACAAACATAATACAGACGGATATCTATGCATCATATTTGTTAATCATATCTTTAGTTTCAAAAAAATCCAGCTTTACATTACAACAAATGCCAAATAACTAAAATACGAGTAAAGTTACACTGAGCATATGGTGTCAGCTCAGATTTAATGTTGAACATTAATTTGATCTGATGTGATATGATAATTAATGTATCTATGTTTAGATATTGTAATATAACCTATTAATAAAAAGCTAATTCGCTTGAACAAACACATATATTAATTTATTTTACGAAAAGAGAAAAAAGACTGCTTGCAAAATTTTATTAAAAGTCAACAAAGGTGATTACGGAACTCGGCGGTCGACGTTCCCAACTCGGACCGATCTTCCCGACTGAGCAAGTGTGGTTGTGTGCGTGTTGTGGCTCGTGCGTACGAGTCCGTACTGTCACGTGCCGAACACGCACACATATTAGCGGCGTTCGGTACAATTCTTAGAAGTGAGCCTACTATTCTATTTTTACTATGCCCTTGAACAGGGTAAAGTGAAATTGTCTTTCGGTGCCTTTAGGTCGACGCTCTCAAATCACATAAATTGTATTTCAGTATATACAACACTTGGGCACTTAGAGCGCTTCTCTCGGTCGACCCAGAGCCGGCACTGTTTATAAGTAAAATAATTTTTGTGATTTAAATATTATATCCTCGGGATATGGGCCACATTTTTCCCTGTTTTTTATTAAGTACGTAATCGTACATTGATTATTTTTCAATAGAAAGTTTTTGTCTAGCATACACAGTGCATATTCGAGTTTAAAATATATCATCCCTCCGTCTCTTATACTCATTATAAGAAATTTCATAAATATAAGTATTGACAGAATTTAAGTTAATCAGTTACAATATTTTAAATAAACTATCTAGCGGTTAAATTACTTTATGGTAGTGCGACATATATTATAAAATTATACAATTTTTATCTGACGGACAGACAGCCTAGACAGAATCTAAACTTTTTTTATTTATTGTTCTGAATGCTATACATACTTTTTTGTTTACTTGTCGCTATTTATGCCAGGAATAATGGAGTTATATTTTTAATTTCTTTAATGTTTAAAAATATAAAGCCTTGAGATATTTTTTTTTTGCTGTTTTTGTTTTGTTATAAAGAAACTAACTAGATATGGTCCTGCGCAGGAAAAGTAAATATATTTTTATACTTAAAATTAAAAGTTTTAATTTAATTACGTAAGGTGCAAACATATTGTAATAATTGTAAGAACGTTCCACTGCTGGGCACAGGCGTTTGCTTCATTTCTGAGGGAGTTTGTACGGCAGAAGAAAAAAAATAGAAATATGTTTACTTCTTTTTTAAATTTGCATTTTTTATTAAAATTAACCATTTCCTTAGAAGTCGAAACACGAAACCGGTTTTCTCGCTAGGACATTTAAGGCAAATGCTTATCCTGAACTACTACGGCCCGCGATTGTCTTCATTAATTACAAACAGAACACAATATAATGACAAGTAACGTAAAACAAACTGGTTGATGCGGAAATTGTAACACGTGTTGTATAAATTCAACGGTTATTTTTTTAGTGAAAGGTATTTACGCGTGAATTTCAAGGTTACGTTACTTTTTGTAGCGTTTAGCTCGATAAAAACGGAAGATCTACATAGAATAAACAAAAGGCAAGCAAATTGGATAAGTATTGGATTGAATAAAGCGTTATAAAAAGATCATTTTCTATGTGGTTGTACTACTTCTTCGCTTAGGAGTCCTTCTGGGTAGGTATCTGCATTGGATGCTATGTATGATGATATGATGGATGCTGTGGCCCATAGACATCTACATTTAACTTCAATTGAGAATCAAAATACAGCTTCGGTGTCACCGGTGAGGACTACGGTGGAATGCTTCGTCTCCAGTAAAAAGGGTCGCCGGTACTCTACACTCACCATACGATACGAGAGCGTGGTCCTACCTCGGTCGAGAAGACCCATTCGTGCTACAACCATAATATAGCTGCAGCGTGGCTCTACCACGTAAAAAACATTAACATATACGGAAGTTTGATTTCTTTTGGGCCCAATTTTAGAATCTATTAAAAAAAAACTTTTAATATTTTTATAAAAAAATAAAAATATAAATTTCTTTGCAACTTTCCGCTAAACATATAAAATGATGTGTCTTACCTGGATTGAAGCGCACCTCCCGCCCTCCCTCAATTGCATACACTAACTCCGTCACCACTAGACCACCGCTTGGGTTCTACCTTTTTTTTTTTTTTTTTTTTTTTTTTTTTTTTTTTTTTGTTTTTTTTTTTTTTTTTTTTAAAAAAAATTTTTTTTTTAAAAAAATTTTATTTTTAAAAAAAATAAAATGTATTTTTTTTTTTTTTTTTTTTTATCCTTTTTTTGGGAAAATTTTTTTTTTTTTTTTTTTTTTTTTTTTTTTTTTTTTTTTTTCTTTTTTTTTTTGCGGCAGTTTTTTTGGTTGTTTGTATTTTTAGTGATCAAGCACCACTACTCTCAACACCACTATTCCAGGCAAGACACACCATCGACGATAATACGACACGTGTTTCGCCTCTACACGAGGCATCCTCAGGTAATATAGACTCTACGGCGGCTGACCGCTAAGTCAGCGCTTCAATCCAGGTAAGACACATCATTTTATATGTTTAGCGGAAAGTTGCAAAGAAATTTATATTTTTATTTTTTATCTTAGCGGTCAGCCGCCGTAGAGTCTATATTACCTGAGGATGCCTCGTGTAGAGGCGAAACACGTGTCGTATTATCGTCGATGGTGTGTCTTTCCTGGAATAGTGGTGTTGAGAGTAGTGGTGCTTGGTCTAGTGGTGACGGAGTTAGTGTACGCAATTGAGGGAGGGCGGGAGGTGCGCTTCAATCCAGGTAAGACACATCATTTTATATGTTTAGCGGAAAGTTGCAAAGAAATTTATATTTTTATTTTTTATTATAATGGATTTCCGCAAAGTAACGCCTGATTCTATCAATTATTTTAATATTTTTGAAAATTGTGTTAAGAAAACATGCTACTTTTCCATAGCACAGGACCGCTAAAATGTAACAAAATGAATGGTTTTAATAGCTTTTAACTCCGGAACGTTAAAATATTAAACTAAGTAAAAATATTTAAAATAAATAAATACACATTAAAACAGAGTAAATTACGTTCCGGGCAGGGATGTTAATTTCTTACACAACTACTCGTTAATCCACCACATTAATTAAACAATAATCCTAAACATCAATATTACAAGTAGAGAAATTCACTAAATACAATTATTATTATAATAATGTAATTAATAAGCGTAATAGATCAAAAACATTAATTGTTTTTTATTCATTCATCATACGTGCATTCCGTTTGTCCGTATGACAAAATGTTTTCTTGCTTTACCTACGTTTCCCGTCAATTTTGGACTGTTCGTTAATAGTCTGTGAGCGGAAATACCATAAAATATTAATATATAGCCAGAACTATCAAAACTAACTACAATATAATTTTAGTGAAGGTTAACGCCCTATTTATATCAAAGTTATTAAAAAATTCTTGTGTTTTTAATAAGCCCTCTCCACTTTAGGAGTTTCTTCTCTATCGCGAAGGCGTTTAGTAGACTTAGGGAGGAAAAAAAATACCAGACTCGGAACAACCTATGTATTTGTTTGATCAACAAATAATCTACCAAACCGGCTATATGCGTATTATTTGTTGATATATATATTTTGATGTAATATTTTTTAAATTTAGTTATAGTGTTCCGTGAACACAGTTTTTATACTTCTTTATTTTTAATACTGTCAGCAGTAAATGTTTTCACTTTTCAGCGGATGTGTCCTAAATACCTAACTATTGTTCACTGTATTGAAAATAGGTAGGTTTTATTTAATAGGATAGGGTGACAAACGAGCACACAGTCCACCTGATGGTAAGTGGTTGCTGTGGCCCACAGACATCTACATCTATCCTCGATTACGAATCAAAATGTAAATGCGTTGTCACCTGTGAGGACTAAGATGTCACCGGTGAGGACTTAGGTGGAACGCCTCATTTCCAGTAAAAAGGGTCTCCGGTTCTCTATACTCACCATACGAAACACAGCAGCATTAAGCTACTATTTGACGCTGGTATTTAAAAGTTGTTATTAGCGTGTACATTAAAGTATTACTTTCTAATTCGTAAACGTGATAAAACCTTTTCCACCTGATAGGTATTACAAAGACTCCTAATAGAAAATATTTCAATATTTACATAACATTAATTTTTAAACAGACGTTTTAAATTTCTAAGGCGTATGTATTAATGATTTTATGTGTTTCCTACATCACAGTCCCCAAATGATCACTCGTTTGTTTTCTTTCCTATTTTGCTTCACATCAAACCCTGCCTTACGTTGTTTGTAACCTGTCACCGCCGATCAGCAGTTTTCCATTCCCCTAACATCGAATGTTCTGCCCTCGAACTCCTCATTACCGTAACCTCTGTCATCGTACTCGCAATCTCTTCCGCTTTGGACAGCCTCAACAGGTGGACCATGAAGTTTGACGCACACGATCTCCTTGTAGTTCTCCAACGCCAGGGCCAGCACTGACCCACCTAGAAGAACCTCACAGGATGTGATCTTTTCCGGTGGCGTGTAGACAGCGACAAGTTTTCCTGTGAACGAAACCTTCATTTATTACTAGTGTAATAGGAAAGTCTGTTATTTTCTATTTAAATTGTATGGATGATACAGCTGATATAGAGGCCAATATTTTTTTATCTACGCTGAGATATTTATTTATCAAAGAAAATGCTGTCGGTTTTCTAGTATTGGCGCTATTTTACATAGATTCGCTATCCGACGTAGGTACAGATTTTCGTCAAGATTTTTAATTGCTTAATTTAAAAACTTGAGGTGGGTGTCTTAAAAGACTGTTTTTGAGCAATTTCGAAAACAATGTTTAAAAATTAAAAATACGTGTGGCACTCGGTGACTGCCGCGGTAAAGCTATTGCATAGCGTTTTTTATCAACTTATGCAATTATAATTATTTATTTATTTTATTTATGCAGTTAAGTCTTTGATATTAAATCAAGTTACACTTTTTGAGAGTGGTGACCGATAACAAAACATTTTTTTTCTCTTATTGAATAAATGAGAAGTTAATATTGTTTAAAATATTTTTAATATCTTACAATACATGTAGGTTATTCAGGAATTGAGTTAGCAGCTAGTGTACACGCATACGTCTAGTCGCACGCAGCACACAAACACCGTGCCGAAGTCTGCCGAGTGCCGAAGTCTGCCGAACTAAAACGACGTTAGACGATGCACGGCTTTCAACGCCACACCTCCGTGCCCGTCGGAGTGGGGAGCGTGAGGTTTTTTTTTCGTTACGGAATTTCTGGATTCGGTTCCCGCGCTCAAGGCCCGCGATAGAAGCTATGCAATAGCTTAAAAAATAAAATAAAAATTACGTTACGGTAATATGGTCATCCGGTTATTATAGTCACTTTCCTATGATTCAAAAACTACAGCCTTGCTTGCATAGATGTCTTTGCGATACGGTAGCTCTTCATAGGTCATTCAAATAATAAAGGGCACTCCTTTATCGACGCCATGTTGACAGTAGAAATTATAGTGAATATTTTAGTCGATTTTAATATGAGGTAGTGTAGTTCTTTTTAATTAGACTTTTCGAAGTATTCATAATTGTTGCCAAAGCTTGTTTACAATTTTTATCTTAATATATTAGTTACAGTATACGACTTTGTGTTTATGTCTCTCTCCTTCTTCTATTTAGGGTTTTATAGGGCGGCAAAACATATGGTGACCATATTACCCTCACGTACCTTAGTGTAAATGTAATAAATTGAACGACGACTCCGTGGCGCAGTGGCTTAGCAATGAGTGGCTGGGCTGGGGGTCGCGGGCTCGAATCCCGCACGGAACAAGTATATTTGTATGGCCTACAAATAATTGTTCCGGGTCTGGATGTTTGTCCTTGTGCAATTTATGTTTGTAAACTGCCCCCACGATACAGGAGAAAATCTTAGTGGTTACGTAACGTTTTTTAAAAAAAATATTATTATTTAGCTGAGTTCAGAAAACGAGCAGTTTTTTGAAGTGTTTTGAAATGTCGGGCGTTCCACAGATCACATTATAGTTGTTACCTTGAATTTGTGATATTCATAAGTTCACTCAAAAATGTAAAAAAAGGCAAGAACTGATTTCCAAATCTTAAAATATTGTACGTTACACCTTAAAATGCTGCTGTTGATGATATAAATAAAATATGCTGCTTGAGGTAAAATATAAAATATATTTAAAAACTGCTACCCTTTGGCGTGCTATTTGAACTGTTTGATGATAAGAGAAATCTAATTTGTGCGGTTGCACTGTACAAATATGAAATAATTTCCATTATTTTCTGAACTCTGAGATTTAAGTCTTATACTCTATGTCTAGCACCGGTTTTATAAGAAACAATTTTTTTTTCATTTAAGTTTTTGAAGTCAGATTTTGTTTTATATTAAAACTTTATTTTTTATTTTCTTTTAGAAGTTACATTAAATACTATTGGCAAAAGAAACTACACTAAATCACATAAATAAATCTTTGCGCTATTACTTATATGGTTATATATATATATATATATATATATATATATATTATGTATATATATATATATATATATATATATATATATATATATATATATATAGATAGAGAGAGAGAGAGAGAGAGAAAATATTAAATTAAGAGGGTTTCGCTTATAATAATAATTTATTTCGACCCCGGTCCATTAATTTTATTTTTAATAAATGGGTTAGTAAGTGATTTATAAACTAAAATATATTACTAACAACATTAACTAATTATAACTAAACTAATTCATATGCCTCTGCCCACTTTCCACTGCAGCAGACACGCAGCAGTTCATAATTATATTATGTAGGGTGTGCGGTGTGAGCTACGCACGGCACAGTTGCAACGATGCGTGTGTGCGTGTGTGTACGTGCGTGCGTGCGTGCGTGTGTGTGCGCGCGTGTTTGTTTGTGTGTGTGTATGTGATTGTGTGTCAGTGTGCGATGCGAGGTACCTGTATGCAGGTCCCACAGGCGCACGGAAAGATCGCGCGCGTCGCGATCCGCCGAAAGCAGCGCGGCGCCCGCGCGGCACAGCCGCAGCAGTGACGGTGCCGCAGCGTGACCGCGCAGCGTCAGCCGGCAGTTGCCTGCCCACCAATGCAACACGTGCCACCAATAAAATGCATCGCTCACGTACAAAATATCGTGTTAGACCCAAGCTACAGCTATATTATAGTTGTAACATCAATGGGTCTGCTCGACCGGGGAAGGATCACGCTCTCATAAAATACTAGCATAAAATAGCTCGGCATAATGTGTGTGGGTGTGGGTGGTGAGTGTAGAGAACTGGAGACCCATTTATTTATACTTTTCAGTGAAACGGGGCGTTCTATCTAAGTCCTTAAGGGTGAAAACGCATCAGCATTTTGATTCTTAATCGAGGATAGATGTAGATGTCTATGGGCCACAACATCCGCTTATTATCAGGTAGACTGTGTGCCCGTTTGTCACCCTTATTCTATAGAAATAAACAAAGGGACAGAGTAAAGACGAAACAAAACTATGAAATCTGCTTTTCATAATTATAATATGTCAAAAAAATTATTTAATTTCAATAATCGAGAATTAAATCTATATAAGTATATGAATAAAATTGATATGCGACTGTAGCCTTTTATCAAGCTGAGCTTTTTTGCATGCTATTGAGACATGAATAACTACTTTTAGAAATGGAAAAGTTGCATAAATTTTTTTGCCACAAATGCCTCGTTTCCAGTAAAACCACACGAAACATAACAGCGTTACACTGCTATTTTAATCTGGTATTCTGTGAGAGTGTGGTCTTAGCCAGGTCAAGCCGATCTATTAATGTTACAAGCATAATATTCTTGCAGCGTAACCATATAGATAAATAATAACATAAAAAACATAAACACTCACGCCTGTCACCCAGAGGGGTAGGCAGAGACTACGGACTTCCATTTGACACGATCCTGACACACCTATCGCGCCTACTTTACATATATCTACACATACACGGTTCATCGGTTAAAGGTACTCCTAATGTGGCCCATTTTCAATATATTGCTAATTTGTTCGATAAACCATCGTCTAAGGCTCTAGGGCGTCTCTTTCCGACTCTGCCGTTCATATCCGGAATATAAATTTGCTTTGTCACTTTTTCCTCGTTCATTCTTTCTACATGACCAAACAACCATTAAACTATATATTATATAATTTAAAATTAACTACATCCTTACCCGTGACCAAGTCCCAGACGAGGATCCTGGTGTCCGCGAGGCCGGAGACGACGCAGCCGTCCGCAGAGCTGATGGCGAGCGCGACGGTGTCGCAGCCTGGCTTCCACTTCTTGAACAGCGTGCCCGACTGCAGGTCGTACACCACGATGAAGTTTGGCGTTGGTTCGTCCAGCTCCCGCGACACCACGCACACATACGAACCTGACACGTTCATATTTTTATTTTAGACGGCTGCGGAAAGCTGCATAAGGATGAGAAGGGAGCGATTGTTTGAGTTCAATCTGGTTCTGTCTCTCTCTGAACCCTCTTAGTGCCTTACTGGGTGGGGACAAACGTGATCCACCTTTTCTCTATAATAATTATATAATATATAAAATTGAAAGAGTATATATATATATATATATATATATATATATATATATATATATATATATATATATATATATATATATATATGTTACTCGCCTCCAGTCACTCCCATTTTACGGAATTGCTAAATATCACTTGTGAGTTCAGCAATTCTATAAGAATGAGACTGGGAAAATAAATGAGCGGTGCGGTCCTCCATATGTCAAGACGGAAAGGGTTTTTATAAGGGTTTCCGGCTAAAACATACCGATACCTGGGTATGTCACAGAACATAGGTAATAGTTATCAATGGCGTATATGAAACAGTCAGTTTGCGATGTGTATTATGTATGCTTTACAAAAGTGCTTAAAAATCTATAGTTGGGCGTTAATAAGAATGCATATAACGATTGAATTAAACCTCTCCACCTTGAACGAATTAACCACTGGACCCGACATATAAGTGGACTTACCTATACCGGTCTTGTCAGTAACCAGGAAATTCTAGCCTTGGTCGTGTGCTTTTGCGTCAGTCTTAAGCACTTACTTGTCAACAAAACATCTCCCAAAAATGACTAAATGTTCAGTAAAATAATGTAAAAAGTATAGCGGCGGAAGCAGCACTATTTCTTTTCACTTGTAAGTATATTAGTTTATTACATTTATTGTTATTGATCACAATATTTAGTCAAATGTAAAATATAATTTTGTATTATCCAACTATGTTAAATATGGTTTATATTTCTATGTATTGTAGACATCTGATAACCATAACAAAATGGCTGGATTATACCATTTAGAACGAATGACTAAAACTGTGGAGTGAGTCAATTTGACATCGACTAGTGCTTGACCATGTCGAAAAATATATCGATATTTGACGATATGACCGAATGAATGATGTTATTTGTACAATACAATAACACTTAAAATACTTATATAACAGTATCCTACAATACAATCAATACAATCTGATGTCATTAAATTTATAATAGTTATTTTTAAAATTAAATAAAAATATTATAAATGCAAAAATTATAATTAGTATCTGTACTTAAAATATTTAAACATAAAAATTACACAAATTTTCAGATTTCCTAGTGACCCTTCTTGGAAAAGAAAGTGGGTAGAAGCAGTTCATAGAGATGAAACCTGGTTAACCTATTTAAATAATTGTAACTTAAAAAATTTGACGTTTATCATAACTAATTGAATAAAAAGTCCATCACAATGTCTTGCTCCTTTAATTTTAATTAAAATTTAAATACCGGAAGCTTACCTCACATTCATTATCCCTTTATTTCCTTTGTCTTACAGCTTATTTACGATACGCCTTTTCTTTCTCAGTCGTTCATCGATATATTTTATCGACTACGTTCGAGCACTAGAAATGGAGTGAACTTCTACGAATTTCGTATCTGTGTTTATATTAACGTAATAAAATTTTTGTGTGCGTTACAGCGTTGTTCTCCACTTGGTTGAACGAGTTTTCATGTGTTTTATGTCAGGTCCAGTGGTTAATTCGTTCAAGCTCTCCACATACCTTTGGCATACTCAGGTGGACTCAAATCGAAATGAACGCTCTAGATAGAAAAGTCCGCATAGTTATGAAGTCCCACAGGACGCAACACCCGAGATCGTCAGTAATGAAATGAGGCTGTAATTGCTGCGGAAACATGGGGGGCGTGCTTTTTTTTTAAACGCTCTCACGATGCATAATTGCAAGGTGTGTGTAGCCCTCATAATTATTTTCTGACCAGATCGGATAATCAATTCTACGAGGACGTCATTTCGTGTGACAAAGGGCTAACTCCTCTACCGTTAGCCAACGGGAAATGGCAAGGCCCAGCTGTACAGTGCATTTCCGACCGGGAGACTGTATGCAAGAAGAGGGAGCTCCACGGGAGGTTCTACAAGGCTCTTAATGTGCCTTTCGTAGACACAATTGTTTCCACTGGCTACGTTTTGAATTTCGGTGACCTCTTCAGGGAAACCGAGGGTTTTGTCAGTGCAATACAGGATCAGGTTATTAAAACCAATAACTATCAGAGATACATCCAAAAGGTTAGCACCACTAACATCCGTCAAGCTTGTCGCCATACCGATGAGACACTTAGGCATGTCATCTCTGGTTGTTCAGCACTTTCTAATTCTGAGTACTTGCACAGACACACCCTAGTAGCTAGGATTTTACACCAGGATTTTACACTCTGAAATACGGTCTCGTCGATCGAAAACTGCCTTATTGTAAGTACTTGTCGGAAGCCATGCTCGAAAATGATAATAATGACCTCCACGTGTGAATTTCGGTGACGGTAGCCAGCCACAGTGCAGACTAGCCCTCTGCGCAGGACAGGAGATGCAATAGTGTGTGCGCAAGTATAGGTGCACTCTCTATTTCCTCAATCTCATAGTTCCATTGAAGACAGTAATCTAACACGACCGGAAAGAGATATATGTGTGCTTTCCAAGGCACGGTACTGAAACACAGCCAACTTCCTGACTCCGAGCTGTTACTGACAATTTCTTGAAAGAAAAACCCAATAACTGATTTTGGCCCTACCCCAGATTCCAACCTAATGATCAGCCGTCGCTCTAAGCGATTCACCACGCGTGATGTAAGATTCATGGTTATCGAAAAAACTAACCGTTGTGGCGGTGTAAGAATATCCACTACCCCATAGCGAGCCGTGGGTGTCGTAAGAGATGAGAGAGGGAAACTGAATCAGTAGATGGTCAACAACATCTTCTTGATAACAACTCAATAACGAATTTTATAGGCTGTAATGGATATATCGAAAGAACTAAAGAAAATGCCAAGATGGTTTTGTAATTTCCGAACATTTGGCCCATTGCAATAACTTCCCAATGGGAACTTAAAAATCATTATATTTTTTTTTTTATAACTTCCCAATGGGAACTTAAAAATCATTATATTTTTTTTAAATATATTTAAGCCTTCTTTTTATACAAAGAATTATCACATTGTCTTATACTTTTCCAAAATCTCAAGCCAAGCAAATTACCTTCATAAGTGATGGCGGCTTTTGAGGTGATGAAATCGTGGTGAGGTATCCTGAGGTCGTATAGTAGCTTTCTTGAAGTCAACGACCATACCAGTAGCGGGAACGGCTTCTGAGTTTCATCACCGCACACAAGGATCCTAATAAGAAAGGACACTCTAAGAATGGTGAATTAAAAACTAGGAATTTTACTTATACTGAATAATCTTTTTCAACGTCTGGAAAAAATAGGGTGTAACATGTGAACGGAGTAGAAGCCTGTGGCACTGATATTTTACAAAAAAGAAATACAAAAATTTTGAATATTTATCTTATTTTTATTTATTTATTTATTTCAATCAATAAGGATCATAGAGTAAAATTACATTCATTCAAATACTAAATCTAAAATCTAAAATAAAATACTAAAATTATAACAAAACTTTAGTATTAGAATAGATTAATTATAAAAACGTTTAAATTTTTTTAACAATTACTTTGCCCTTTGCCCTTGACCTTGTGACCCTGCTAAGTGACAAGGTCAAAGATGCTTAATAAATTTAGTAGAGTGGATATGATTTGAATTACGATAGATTTTAACTATTTATATATTTAATTCAATTTTTTTAAATAGTAGCGCCATAGGCTTCTACTTCGTTCACATGTTACACTCTATTTTTTCCAGACGGTAAAAAAGGTCATCCAGTATAGTTAATGTGAAAGTGTGTTTGATTCAAGAACAAACATAGAAACATGTTTGTTCTTGAATCACGCTTGAACCGCTGCAGGGTGGATTCAAAAGAAATTTGGCAGAGAGGTCGATTATATCCTGGATAAGCGCAGACTTTCATAACGACACATCACAACAATAATTATTCAAATTTGATTTACATCCTGCGAAGCGGACGATTAACAGGTAGTTTATAATATATTAAGAAGCATTTGCTCTACGATGACGGCGTGAACTCCACACCTTACGGGCAGAGACGCTGTGTTGGATTCCACACACTCCTCGGGTTGTAGGAATCTTTTTCTGCCTACTGGTTTACCTACTGGTGTATTCATACCGGATGTTTTTTTCCGTCTGGAAAAATAGGGTGTGACTGGTGAACGGACTAGAGGCCTATGGCACTGATATGACTGAAAATCTGGCTGTAACAGGTGAACGGATTAGAGGTACTACTAATTGGGTACTTATTATTTGAAGTTCGATAGTTTTTATTGGCTTTAAATATTAAGTTCAAAAATTTTGTTGTTATTTTTTTAGTACCGAAAGATTATTTCAAATTAGTAGTATTTATACATAGATCAATTTCATAATATGTTAATGTAAAATAAAAAAAAATGTAAAATATTAGTGTCATACGCTTCTATTCTGTTCACCTGTTACACCCAATTTTTTTCCAGACAATAAAAAAATTACCCAGTATAAATAGCAGTGCTCGCACTACTGTATTCCAGTCCAAAGAGTATAGACACCCAATATAATTATAGTCTGTGAGGCGTTCCATTTTAGAGCTCGGACAAATCATCGGTAGCCATCTTTGTTTGAAGTTGGTTGCAGGTGTCTATAGTCTGCAGTAGCCTTTCACCATCAGGTGGAATGCAAGTTCGTTTAAAATTTCAGTTTTATAAAAAACAGGGTTGTAGTGTATGCCGGATGACATATTTTATCGTCTGGGCAAAAATAGGGTGTAATATGTGAACGGAGTAGAATTCTATGGTACTAATATTTTACAAAAAATAAAAACAAAAATTTTGAATAAAATAAATGATTAAATGAAAATCTATCGAAATTCAAATCTATTTTACGAGCGGCCATAAAACAATAAATTTAGTAGGTATCTTTGACGTTGTCACTCCGCAGCGTCACAGGCTAGGGTGGATATGATTTGAACTTCGATAAATTTTAATTAATTTAGTTATATAATTTAGTTTCAAAGTTTTAGTTTTTATTTTTGCAAAATATCATTGCCGTAGGCTTCTACTCTGTTCACATTTTACGTCATATTATTTTGCAGACGGTAAAAAAGATAATCCAGTATATGTACAACAGATTAAGATACATTCATTTAGTATTTGTATACAGTCAAGACCACCAGACGTGTTATTTATTACATGGTGAACCAGCCAGTATTCGAACATTCACTTAGTATTCAGTTACATTCAGTTAGTACTAATCTACAGTCAAGACCACTAGACGTGTTATTTATTACCCGAATCTCCCGAAAATTACAGGGTCATATGAGTGAACTTTGGATAATATCAGGTAGGCCTCACGGCTTTATGGCTGGCGAGATAGCTATTTCGTTTATCCATCTTATGTAGTATCCAGACCACTTATAATAGTGGATATTTGGGCAATCGCCATTCCTTTTGATACGTGTGTCAATAATAGCAAATCCATCTTAGAGATCCGATCACCCATATTTCGTCCAGTGGGTGTCATAAAAAGTGACTATGGGAAGTGCCTGAAAGATACCACGGCTTTCGATAGATGGCGGTAAGCCTTGTTTATCTCAAACGTAAATATATACAGAAAGGTGATAATAGGCAATGTCCGAAGTGCGACACTGGTAATGGGATTGAAAATTTGAATAACTAATACTTTCTTCAGCGTGAGGTCTCCAGATCCAGCAGTGCAATTTTCATACCGATAAAGAAAAAGAACATATACGACGTAAAATGTAAGCGAGAAAAAGTTAGACAAACTTGATTGTTTGATCTCGCATAATGGTATTTTGTTTTTAATACTTTTTGTGCGTGTTATATATGTTAGTAAACCGAATGATTTATTTTTTGTCAATTTTATTTAAATTATTTTCCAGAAGTGTAGCAATTGTATTTGTTTTTGATCTCAACGTAGAATAGTTACAGTTTTAGAATGATGACGTTTTGAATTTGCCAGATAGATGATAATGAAGTTCTTTTAATTGTATTTGAATAGAATTTGAATAAGCCACTTGCGGCATCGGCAAAGATGCCGCAAGGGACTGTTTTTGAATATGGCTTATTCAAAAACAGTCCATGGCTCTATCTGGTTTTGATAGCCCCTCAAATTAGACAATTTTTTTTATTAAGCAACTATAATTTATTGTTTATTTATATTTTTATTTTTAATTATTTATTGTGGATACGTGTGTTTCATCAATTGCCTAAGACCCTGTATGAATTATGTGCAAAGGCTGTGGCAGAATGGCAGGAGTAATGGGTTTCCCGTTACAACTGAGTCACAGACCGTTTTGTCACAACTAATTATTAAGCTGTCTATTTAAATTTTTTTTTGTGTGGCAAATAAATACTTTTTATTTATTTATTTAAATGATATAGTGTTCTGGTATCAGTTTATATGACATACCTTCCATCGCCTGACACTAGCAAAGAGTTGAGAAATCTATCTTCCCCAGCTTTGAACGTCGTCACACAGTCCCCTGAAAAAAATATACATAGATAAATTTGATTATGCGCTCACTAAGTATAGCTACGTTTAAAAAAGTTTGAAACGTGTACTAAAAGTAAGTACGATGTGAAGTTGTAGTATTACGTAGATGCCAAAATATTACTCTCTCAACTGAAAAGTTTAATATTGTTTGGTTTTTTATTTTTTTTGAAAAATTTTTTGTATATCATTTTTCACCTGATGGTAAGTGGATGCTGTGGCCTATAGACATCTACATTTATCCTCGATTAAGAATCAAAACGCAGATGCGTTGTCACCCCTAAGGACTAATATGGAACGCCTCACTTGGAGTAAAAAAGGGTCTCCGGATCTCTACACTTACCATAAGAAACACAGCAGTATTAAGCTACTATTTTACAATAGTATTGTTAGAGCGTGGTCCTCCCCCGGTCTGCCTGACCTATTCCTGCTACAGTCGTAATATAGCTGTAGCATGGCTCTACCACGTATTGAAATTTCATTGTGCTCCCCATATAAAGTAAATACATCGAGATATTGAAACATTTTTAATTCTTTTGAAAATAATATGGATCAAAACGATCGACAATGATTAAAAGTAAAAATAAATAGAATATTTGTAATGTTTAGTGCCTTATATTAAAATAATGCTATGTTTTTGTAGATTTGGATTAGGCACCCATTAAATGAGTGTGCGTGACTTATGCATCGCATTACTAGTTGACATTATATGAATTGTTTAAAGACTGCCTTAGTTATGTGTCCAGTCCGAAAGAAGACGTTGCGAATAAATGAAATAAAAAAAGAATTATCAACATATATTAAATTAAATACCTATATATATATATATATATATATATATATATATATATATATATATACCTTTATATATAAAACATACTCGTAATACCTGGCCCGGTAGACGTCGTTTACTCTTTCCGAATTCACCCTGGACATTACCAGTGTGAAAATAATATCTTAATAATTCGAATGCAGAACAATTTTATTCATAAATACAAAATTTCTTAAAATTTGTCTACAGCGCCATCTATCCAATTTTACCATTACTATGAATATCTCGATAAAATATTGTATAAATTTAATACATCGGTCAAGCCCTTCAGAAGTTACACGATTAGTAACAGAAGCACAAACAAGTATATTATTTATTAAATAAAGAAAAAAAATATAAAGAGTGGCTTATTGCAATTTGATGTGCATGTCACGTGTAAGTAGACGTATACTCCGGGCACAGATTAATTGTTCCGGGCTTTATAATACACAAGTAATATAATATCGTGTAATACGTCTTTGCAAGTAAACTTACCTGTTTCAATATTCATAAGGTTAACATACATCCGGTTCCTCGACAGTGCAACCAAATGCTTGGAGTCATGCAACCCGTAGTAAGGCATTTTCTGGTTCATCACGCCTTTCAACGTTACCACGAATTTGCCCTGGAAAAGAAATTAAGGCAGTTAAAACTTCGATACCCAATTACTTAGTACCCATTGAGGTTTTTTTTTATAAAACTGAAGTTACAAACTACCTTGATAGTAAGTAGTTACTACCATAGAATACTATAATTACATACATAATAGAACAGGGGAGTGGGCGGAGCCTGTGTTACCACTAAAATGTCACTAACTCGTCAAATCACACGTATAAATGTCAACACGAGATATATTTTGACGTTACAATCATTTCCAAATCTCGCATGCAAATTATTTAGAAAATGCCAAATTGCACGTTATTTACAAATTAATACGTATTAAAATCTGTCTGTTAACATAGCGAATCGAGTTTGTAGTAGTGATACTACGTAATTGCTTGTATGTGTGCTCCCGGCTACGCCTATCGTCGTACAAAATAAGGTTGACAGCCATTCTATTGTGTATTATAGTATTCCATGGTTACTGCAGTCCATTGACAGCTTTTTTATAGAATACGGACGTGGGACGAGCACACAGTCCACCTGATAGTAAGTATATGCTAGGGCCTATAGACTATTACATCTATCCTCGATTAAGAATCAACATGCAGATGCGTTGTCACCCGTGAGGACTAAGATGAAATGCCTCGATTCCAGTAAAACAGGTCTCCGGTTCTCTACACTCACAATACAAAACACAGCAGCATTAAGCTGCTATTTTGACGGTCTTATACTGTGACAGCGTGGTCCTACCACAGTCAAGGCGACGCATTTGAGCCGCAACCATAATATAGCAGCAGCATGGCTTTTCCACTGAAATTGTTATAAAAACCTAACCCAACAACAACCGTACTAGGCGGCAGAATTCCTTTTCCGACTATGAGTTCGTCTCGGTAGTTACTATCCTTTATCTATTTCTGACGTCACTACTAGCATGCTGTGGTCCCGTCTGAAGGGTACAGAGTCATTATAATTACAGGTTGTGAGGCATTCCATCTTAGTACTCAAAAGTACAAAACGTATCTGCAGCCTTTATTGTTTGAAGTTGGCTGCAGGTTGATTTTGTACGTGGTAGCGCCACGCTGCAGCTATTATGGGTTGCAGCATGAATGGGTCGGCTAGTTCGGGGTAGGACCATGCTCTCACAGGATACCAGCGTAAAATAGCAGCTTAATGCTGCTGTGTTTCGTATGGTGAGTGTAGAGAACCGGAGACTCTTCTCAAGGGTGACAATTGATTCTTATTCGAGGATAGATATAGATGTCTATGGGCCCCAGCATCCACTTACAATCAGGCGGACTGAGCGCTCGTCTGTCACCCTTATTCTGTAACATATAATGTTAACCATATCTTGTGTTGTGGTGGCGGCGGGAATCCATCTTTGCCATTCGTTCATCATCCAATTTTACCCCTCGCTGTCATGAGACACATCTATGGGAAATGTCAGAAAATACTAAAGGTTTCTGTAATGATTTCTTATATTTACGCGAACACTACACATTGAAATAATACTAGTTTTTACTGAATTTATCGCGTATATTTAACTTATTAAATACCCGACGTTTCGAACGCTTTACAGTACTAATACTGTACAGCACTAATACAATAAGTTCATACTGTATAGATCAGAACAAAAGTTAAATTTTAATCTATGGTAACCGCGGTTAACTATGACATATGGACGTTGAACATCTCAGTCCCGCCCGTGACCATGAGTGCTGTAAAGCGTTCGAAACGTCGGGTATTTAAAAAGTTAAATATACGCGATAAATTCTGTAAAAACTAGTATTATTTAAAGGTTTCTGATTGATGGCCGGTAAAACTATCCCGGCTACGCCAAACATAAAACACCCAGATCGGAAACGGGAACAACTATGATAAATGCTTCCTAAAACGAATGAGGCTCTGCTCTGCTGGACTCTTGCGGACTGATGTTGAGGAAGAAAACAAGAGGTAAGTAGATTTAACCAATAAATAAAATATACTTTCAACAGTAAAATTATAAAAAACATGGCATTACTATGCCGAATACCGAATATGAAAGGAATATTCGGCCCATCTCTATATTATATTATACGCTTTGTTTCTTTAAGTCTACAATGACTTTAGTTCTAAAAAATAAGTAGTGTTTTTTATTAATCGAAAGTACGATTAACAAAAAACACTTTTAGTACTTTCTGGCATATCCTATAGAAGTGTCTTACGACAGCGGGGGCAAAATTCTATGATGAATGGATGGCAAAGATGGATTCCCCTACACTTAACCCGACTGCCTCGTTGGTCTAGTGGTTGTATTAGTGCGACTACTGATCATGAGGTCCCAGGTTCGAATCCTGGGTCGGGCCAAAAATCAGTTATTGAGTTATTCCATCAAAAAATTCTCAGTAGCTGCCTGGAGTCAGGAAGTTGGCGGTGTGTCATCCCCATGCCTCGGAAAGCACGTAAAGCCGTTGGAACTGCGCCTGATCTCACTCTGGTCGTGTCGGATTACCGTCCTATCGGACTATGAGAATAAGGGAATAGTGTGCACCTGTGCTTGTGCATACACTTGGGCACTATAATCCTGTCCTGTGCTGATGGCTAGTCTCCTTCGAAGCTGGGATAATAAGTCAGGAGGACATTAATAAGTCACTAACTGTGTAATCTAAAAGAAATAATTTTTTTATCAATGATACCATATGAGTTCTCCAGAGTACTTAGTTTCAATGAGATAACTAAATAGCACTGTACTCAAGGCTCAATATAGAAATTCAAAAAGTTGGGATTAATATAAATTTTGGTTTAAAATAAATTTATTAATAAAATCTAATATTTGACGAAGACTGCATTGAAAAAGTACCTGATCTAAATCGTACACCCTTAGCTCCCTTCGGCACAACACCACGCATCTGTACTCGTCGATGGGCACCAGGTTAATTGGATGTGTCACACCAACCAATTTTCGGACTAATTTACACCTAAAAAGGAAAAATCACTAAGAAAATACGACTTCAGTATTGATCTATAAAGTACAAGAAGTGGTGTTGAAACAAAGCTGAAATACATAATCTTTCCTCATACCTTTCCTCGTACCACAACAATGCAAAACTGAATACCAGCGTAAAATAGCAGCTTAATGCTGCTGTGTTTCGTATGATGAGTATAGAGAACCGGAGACCCTTTTTACTGGAAAAGAGGCATTCCATCTTCTTCCGCACGGCTGACAACGCATCTGCATTTTGATTCGTAATCGAGGATAAATGTAGATATCTATGGGTCACAGCAACCACTCACCATCAGGTGGACTGTGTGCTTGCTTGTCATCATATCCTATAAAAAAACCGGCTTCATTGGGGTCTTACTCGATACCGCTCTTTAACTAATTGGTTGGTATAGTGGCTGTTATTGTTGATCATGTAGTCCCGGATCGCACTAAAATCAGTTATTGGGGTTTTTATCAAGAAATTTTCAATGGCAGCAAGAGTCTGAAAGCTTGCGGTATTTAAACCCCGTGCTTCGGTCGTGTTGGATTGCCGCCCTAAAGGACTACGAGGGTGAGGAAATGGAGAGTGCACCTGTGCTTACGCCTACACTCGTGCATCATAATTAATAAGCGCGGCACGCTTTTTTTTACAGACTTCAAAAACGAGGAGATATTCAATTCGACTGTATTTTTTGTGTGTCACCTTAGATCTTTTCACTGGGTGATTTTGTTGATTCTTTTCTATCTGAAAGCTGGTGCTTCTCGTGTGGTCCCATATAAATTTAATTAAGATCTGACCAGTGGTTTTTGAGTTATCTTCAATAATGTAAATACGCATTGACTTTGAATACATTGATGACGTTCTAGAATTTTGTGTAAGTGCGACAAGGACTTAAGACTAGTGTGACATAATTCTACTGTCTATACTCTGTCAAGTGTCAAATTGTATGACATACTAATTTTTATGCATTTCGCCGTTGGTGCTTTTCTTGCGTGAATGTGTGCTCTCCAGTGTATTATTGTAGCTTCAATGTCCTCCCTAACGTTTTTATCTGCCTCCGCCTGACGACTTTGCTACCCATCTAGGTCTTTTACAAAAGTTAATATATTTTAGGGCATCCCAACTCGGACAGGTTAGGTTTGAAGGGATCGAGTGAGCGAGCGAAGCGAGCGAATAGACCCCTCCATCCCCTTCGTGTTTATTTTTTTATAAACCACTCAGAAGTAGGAGCCCCGCAAAGCGGGGCTCCGTTGACCGGGCTTCCCTCGGCTGCGCTACGTGGAGCTTCCCTCCCCCAACTCTCTCTTCCATAAATCAGGTTTATAGTCAAAAACATTACAAAAACATAACCTCAAAATGAGATTTTGAAAAATTTATAAAAAAAAACTAAGCACGTCCGGCAGGAGGTGGAAGTGGGGGCGACTCTACAACTCCCCGCCTCCTTCCCCACCCCCTAAATTCATTTTGAGTTATCAGTTTGAGGTCAGTTCTATGGGATTTTCTTTTTGATTTTTCTCAAGGCGCGGCGAAAATTTCCTTGCCCTAAAACCCTCTAAGAAATGAGAGGAGGCTGTAAGTTTAATAATAGTCGTTTAGACAAATATTATTAGTTTAGAAGAAACAGTAACTTAAACACTTACCTTGATACATCCCAAACGCAGATCTCCTCCCTCTCTGTTGAAATGGTAGCAATGAACTTCCCTCTCGTATCAAACCTCACGATCAAATCAAACGATTTACTATCAAACCCTTCAACCGTAGACATATCCCTCCTCTCTCTATTCTCAACAACCTTCCAGAAGTCTTCATTCGTAGGGTAGAAAGTCGGCACAGGTGGCTCGCACACTTGCTGCAACCATTCTTCAACTATCTCACTTTGTATCTGTAGTCCTTCTCTTTTCCTCTTCTCCAAGGTCGTCCGCAGAAGTCCGTAAAACTGTCTGTGATCGTAATCAAGGGCGTACGAATGCGTTTCAAAGACTTCCTTTAAGACTTCTAAGTGTTCAGGTAGTGGGTCTATGTGGACAAGGGCGATGTCTACCAGGAAATGGCTGCAGTCGGTCGCGGCGAGCTTATCGTGGATCCAGTCGAGTTTTGTGAAGTATGGTTTGTTTGCGAAAGTTTCTGGGTCGTCTTTTAGCAGGTGGTAATGTTGGAATGGTAGTTCGTCTAGTTTCCTCGTGTTGTAGCTGGAAGCCGAGAAATATTCGTGACAAAACGGACTGCGATACGTAAGTAAATCAGTAACAATAGAGAGTGATTTTTTTAAACTTTTTATAAGCCAGTGCTTGACCACAGTTTCACCAGGTGGTAAGCGGTGATGCAGCCGTAGTAGATGGTAAATCGCACTGTCTTAGCGTAACAAATGCCTATTAACTCGTGCCTTGAAGACGCCCAGATTGTATTCGGACGGAAAGATAGACGCCGGCAAATTATCCCACTCCTTTGCTGTACGTATTACAAAAAGTCGAAGTAAACCGTTTGGTTCTAATGCGTGAAATATCGACAACAAAGGGGTGAATACCCGTCGACCGCCTGGTCGTCTGATGGTGGATTACGAGGGTGACGATGATGTCTTCTTGTTGATTTAGTAAACGTCGACAAATTCTGAATACCCTCGGAAACCATCAACTAAGATATTTCAAACCACAAGTGCACACACCACTAACACAGAAGCTCTTACTGGTTCTAGTTGCCTAAGCTCGATGTAGAGCTTATTAAATCGGAGGTAGATTAGGATGCAGTGTCAGAGATATGGTTACAATCACAGTAAAACTTAGATCGCCTCGAGATCTCGTGGGTATTTCCCAAAGCCGAGTTTTACGCCACTTACGAGAAAAGAAGTGGTGGATGATGTTCTTTTTTTATAGAATAAGGGTGACAAACGAGCACACAGTGCACCTGATGGTAAGTGGATGCTGTGGCCCATAGACATCTACATTTACCTTCAATTAAGAATCAAAATGCAGACGTGTTGCCAGCCCTGAGGACTGAGATGGAATGCCTCGTTTCCAGGAAAAAGGGTCTCCGGTTCTCTATACTCACCATACGAAACACAGCAGCATTAAGCTGCTATTTTACGCTGGTATTCTGTGAGAGCATGGTCCTGCTCCGATCGAGCCGACCCATTCGTGATGCAACCACAATATATCTGCAGCATGGCTCTATCGCTTAAAAAATCCACTCCAAATGTAAAATACGCACCAGTCTTCTGAGAATTGATTTTCTTGTGATATTAACCGACCAGCCATTTTTGGGTCATTTTCTGTATACCACGTGCCCTGCAAGTTATAAAAAAAAGGAAACTTAAAATGGAAATCTTTTATACTCAAATTAGAGCATTTTTAAAAAAGTAATTAAAGTGAGATAATAATAATAATAATAATAATAATAATGTCCTCCAGACCGAATTTCAGTCACAGCGGCCTGCCTCAACGGAGGCTAGCCATCGGCGCAGGACAGGATTATAGTGCCCAAGTGTATGCGCAAGCACAGGTGCACCCTCTATTCCCTCACTCTCATAATCCGATGGGACGGTAAACCGATACGACCGGAAGAGAGATCAGGCGCAGGACCAACAGCTTTACGTGCTTTTCGAGACACGGGGGGTGAGACACCGCCAACTTCCTGACTCCGGGCAGCTACTGAGAATTTCTTGATGGAAAAACTCAATAATTGATTTTTTGGCCCGACCCGGGATTCGAACCCAGGACCTCATGATCATCAGTCGCACTACTGCAACCACTAGACCAACGAGGCAAAAGTGAGATACTCATTCTGCAATACATATTATTACTTTGAGAAAAGGAGGGAAATTGTACGAAATAACTAAATAAATAAGAAAATAAATCAGATCAGATCTATTCGTTCTATAGTATAATAAAGTATAGCGGGCGGTAAAAATGCGTTCATGCATTGTGATCGCGCTAGTATTATAAGGCAGAAATGTTCGTATCTAAGTTTGAAATAATCATGGAAATTATTTGCAACTATACAAATTATTTGTCTTACGCTTCAAAGCTTTTGTATCTCTATAAAATATGTGCTACATATAATTGTATATAAGAAACAAATGCTTAATATTAAGTAGTAAATAATAGTCAATACATTAATCATTTACACAGTTTTAAAAATTTGGAACACTATGCAATAAATATATAAACGGTAAAATGAAGTATTCGTTTATGTCTGATCGAAATCGAACAATCTCTACTTGTAATTGACGATAGTTAAAATTAAGCAGATCTCACAGATCACAGAACCGAAACTTAAAATGGTACATTAGAATGATTTAGAATGATCTGGTTCGTATGACGAATCAAGTGCGCAAGTCCAAATTTGTTTTATAAAATAGCAGGAGAAGATAAAAAGTAGTATTTCTTGGCCCTACGGATGTTAGAAGTTTTCACTTCCAAAAAGATGAAAAAGATTGGGGTGTGACGGTGTCTTGGACATAACTGTGTATTTCACGTGAATACGTGTACGTAACAAAACAACCACAAAATGGGGGTGCTCCCCGCAAACCCTTACAATGTAGGAATATGAGAAAAATTATATTTAAAAAAATTACACTTGTTTCATGTGTGGTCGTACCTCGTAGTAGTGTACGAGCGTGAGGCGCGGTTCGTCCGGGTCGGGCGCCAGGTAGCGGTCGTGTGCGGCGGAGGCGAGCGCTGCATCCCGCCAGCGCGCCGCGCCGCGCGCGTCCCAGCGCAGCCACGGCGCCAGCAGCGCGCACAGCTGCGGCCACGCCAGCGACGCCGGCGCCCACGGCACTGCCCGCCAACGCACTACTATACTATACACTCATTTCTCATTTGTATTCAATATCCGCCATTGACGACTTATGGATCTGAGACGTGATTCTTCATTACTGGACATATGAGGAAGCTCAAGGTCACTTAGTCAACTATAGAGAGAGCTATGCTCGGAGTTTCTCTGCGTGATAGACTTAGAAATAAGGATATCCGGAGTAGAACCAAAGTAACTCACATAGCCTAACGGATTAATAAGCTGAAGTGGCAATGGACCAGCCATAAAGTTCGAAGAATCGACAACCGATGGGGAGAAAAGTTCTCGAGTGGCAGCTTCGTACCGGTAGGCGAGTTGTGGGGGACTCCCCACTAGATAAAGTACCTAGTAAGACATGCAGAAAATCGATAGATACAGGTGCAGGTTTATGTCATTTCTTGGAGTAAACCTATGTTTAGCAGTAGACTTGTGAAGGGCTGTAATGAATGAAAAAAATCGTCATATGTGGTCACACCAGAGAAGCAGACGTTCACGGCACTGCCGTAACATACAATACTATACTATTACTATACAATCAAATATATTCAATATCCGAGAGCTACGCCTACATCAGCGACGTAAGCGCCCACCGTACAGTGTAAGAAGAAAATACAGTTAGTTATCGCGTTTAATGTTATCGCAAAAACCGACATCGTCAAGACTTTTGTGGTATAGAATAAAATTGCTACGGTAGTTACAACAGGAAAAAATAAATATATTAAACTGAGTTTTTTCCACGTTTTAACAAATTAACTTAATCAGACAATTGGTATTCAGAAAAAAGAACAAGCACAGTTTCAATCATAGAATACTATAATACTATATACTATATAATACTATAATACATACATAATAGAACGGGGTAGTGGACGGAGCCCGTGTAGCCACTAAAATGTCACTAACAAGTCAATTCACACCTATAAATGTCAACACAATCAATCGTTTCCAATTTTCGTGTCAAGCGTCGCTGCATTCAAATTATTTAAAAATGGCAAATTGTGCAATAATTACGAGTCGAAAGAACAGCGGAAAATGGAATTTAAACAAAGGAAACATATTCTACAACCAGTAAGTCGAAACTACATATTTATATTTTGTGAATATAAGAAACAAAAATAAAGAAATATTTATGTGTCAAAAACATTAATCATAAGTCTAAAATGTGTTTGTAGAACTCGTATTGATTTATTTATTTATTTATTTACTTTATTGGAGACAAAACAGAAACAAAAGATATGAAAGAAAAATATACAAGTAAAATAAGACAATGGTAATTACAATTGTTTCCTATAAGCTGTCTCACTAAGAACATACATAATATTTATATTATGAAGCAGGTCGTAATTGGTATCGTCTGCACAACAAGCAGGGTAACAAGTCTGTACTTAAATAAAAAGAAAACAATCATCTGAAAACAATCATCTAACATGTACAATAATAAATACTAAATATCCTTATATATCTAATTCATAATTGCTACTAAAGTACTTTTTAATTTAGTTTTAAAAGCTGAGCGGGAGATAGAGAAAATATCGATGTCGTTAAGCATTTTATTGTGGAGGACACACATTCTGTGTACTGGTGCTCTTTTACCAATGTTGGTCCTGGTTTTTGGTATATGAAATAAATTTTTTGATCGTGTGTTTTTGGGTGGTATTCGAAACCTTACCTCGGATAATAACTGTGAACACTTAATCTCACCAACACAGATATTCCTAAAAGTAGTGGCGTCGATTAAAGTGCGTCGGTCTTTTAATGACAGCATTTGATATTTTGTTAAGAGATTTTCATAGGAAACGCGAGGTGAATGCATTCGATAGTTAACAATACGTAAGAATTTCTTTTGGACCTTTTCTATTTTATCTTCATAAACTGAGTAGAATGGATTCCAAACGGGGGACACATATTCTAGATGAGATCTAACTAATGACTGATAAAGGCAGGTAAGAGTATCTTTGTGTTTAAATGATTTTGTTATACGTGTAACGAAGCCTAGCATTCGGTAAGATTTATTCAATATTTCCTCGATGTGCCTATCTAGTGTGAGTTTGGTATCTAAATATACTCCAAGATCACGTATACTAAATTCTGATACAATTTTGTGACCACCTAAGTAAAAGTCCGCGTGTACTACATTTTTGTTCCTAGTATATGTTATGTGTTTGCATTTATTATAAGCCAAGAATAATTTATTAATTTTACAATAGTTTTCAAGTCTATCCAAATCGTTTTGTATTAATTTTATGTCGTCAGGTTTAGTAACGGCAGAGTATAATTTTAAGTCATCAGCGTATAATAAGAATTTACAATGGTCAAAGCAAGTTGAAATGTCATTAATAAATAGGATAAAGAGGAGTGGTCCCAGTATTGATCCCTGTGGTACGCCAGATGTTACTACAACGGGTAAGGAAATGTAGCCATTAAGCACTACCGACTGTATGCGGTTTTGTAAATAAGAAGCAAACCAACGTAGAAGATTACCTTTGATACCATTGTAGGAGATTTTTTTTAAAAGTAGTGATAACTGATTATACGACGTAATTACTTGTATGTGTGCTCCCGGCGACGCCGATCCTCGTACAAAATAAGGATGACAGTCATTTTATTGTGTATTATAGTATTCTATGGTAACAATTCACTTATCTTTTGCCACCAGGGCGGCGTCACTTAGAAACGAGGTGAAATATTTGACAGATTTCATAGCAGGGAAAGCGATTTGTTAGAAAAGTGTAAGAGTTAATGTTTCCTTCTGTAACATTTTATTTTAATTAGATTACTAATGAATAAACCAAACAACAGATACTCCTAAAAGTAAAATTATTAAAAAAAGTTAAAAAATGTGAAAACATTCAGCAACAAACCACTGAGGCATTGTTATGTGTTTTTATCTGATACTCTAGCGGCAAATAAAATTATATTTAAAACGCAACTTTTCAGTTATATGACATGAACGCCAATGCGGTCACTAATCGGCTCATCTTCAAGATACCTTATAAGCTGGTAGCTTGAAATGGATTCAATTATTTTGGAGAATAAGGAGGCGATGGTGTTAAACCTGTAGTTAAACGGGTTTGATCGGTCCACTTTTAAGGGATCGGGTGAACCAAAGCTATCTTCCATTAGTTAAGATCACGCCTAAGGAGTAGGAGTACCGGAAAAGACGCGTTAGAACCAATGATATTATAAGTAAAAAGATGTTTTTCTTATAATATCATTATTTTTTTATACCAAATTGGTTAGAACCGGTGCTAACTCCGAACCCCTCGACTTTAGCATAATAGAAGATATCCATCAAGTCTATTCGACTTGTTGACGTGCAGGCTGAGGAGTGCTTTGCACAATGAGCGCTGTGTAAATCGCAAATTCAGCATGGATCAATCACACCACGGGATGCTCGGCGGTGTGTATCTTTAGTAATCGAGAGTTGAGTTGGACTCAAAAAGAAAACCTAAAAGATCGACTTTCTCCTTTGCGGCATGGGACAGTTAGTCGTTCTCTATGTGCAAAGATGGAACAGATGGCTGACAGGAGTTCCCTTGAACAGCCTTGGCAAAACACCTTAATAAAATTAGAGGTAGAGAAGAGAGATTGAGCAGCTTGAAATCTTTAAATCACGTGCACGTCAGTCAACGAATGATGAAGGGTGCCTATTTCAAAGTCTTATTTTTAAAATATATTTATTTGTTTTGTGCCAAAAAAGAGCAACAAGTAAACTACTTGCGGCACTTACTCCTTTCTCTTATTTATTTAGAACATTATACCAAATTTTATTTTGTATGTAAGTGGTGCTTGCAAATGCAAGCTCAGCGTCCCCTCGAACCTTGCGTCCAGACTCGAGCTTAGTTAGCCTGTGGGTAAATCAGGTCCTGGACATTGTGTAACAAAACACTTTACTTCAGTCCCTGCTAGCGAAATCTGGTGAACGAAAGATTACTAGCCCTTATTCACAGCTAAAACTGCGTCACAACTAGGATTTGCCAACTCCCGTTTTAGATGATGTGATAAGATTAAATAAAGAACATAGAATGAAAATAAAGGATATCATATTGTTTTCGATAAATTGCTGTTATGGTATTAGTACATATAAAAATAATACTAAAATAAAAACAATCTTAATACACATTGTAAAGTACTTCGGCCCTCTAACTTCACGTTATAGTGATTTTTAAATTGTCTCTATAAAAGATTTCGAATTAGTGGACAATATCAATTTTCGGGGAAATAAAGGACGTCCTTTAAAATATAGGACGGCTGATGAAAGACTTCTATGTATACTACTAGACGAGCACTAGGGTATTAATACATTGCGCAATAAAGGATGTGGTCAATTCTCCATAACTCCTTTATTCGACCGCGAGCAGACGAGAAGACTAGTTCTTCGTTTTGTAAACAGAACATAAAAATTAAACAGAGAACAGTTGCTCGTGGAGATTGAAACTGTTTAAGCTTATGTTCTATGCTAAGTGGTTTCCGGTTCTCGTTACCAACAGGTGGACCGAGTGCTCGACTGTCACCCTTATGAAGTTGTCACCGTGGTTGAAAATCAACTAGGTCGACATCACAAGTGAAAAAAATGCGTGTAGAACTCACGGTACGTCTCCTCACTTCTGAAGAGTTCGTCATGAGCAAGCATATCAAGTATTTCGGTGTCATCGAGGCCTCTTCTGGAAGCGGTAAGTAAAGAAAGACAGGCTCGTACTCTATCCGCGCCCAGTGCGTTCTCTGTGGCCACCAGGATTTGAGTAAGTTGACTTTCTAAGTCGTCACAAATAACGAGCTCTGGCACTGTCTCCGGCTCGGATTGTTCAGCGAAGGTTTCAGCAGACAGGGATATTTGCCAGCCGAGGATCTGAAAACAAATTAATACTTGTATTATAGCTAGCGTCAATAAGAATTTTTATAGATTAGCTTTTCACAACTGTTTTATAGTAATAATAATAATAATGTATTTTTATTTTATGTTAGTAAATTAGCTTAACCTATGTTAGTCTTAAATTATTACACTCACAATTTTCATAATAATTATTTAATTTTTTTATTTTTGGCACCCCATGACACCAGGCACATGCAAGTGCATAGAAAAGTAGACCTAGGATGGGACAATCATAACTACCAGATATTGCCCTCAACATGCTATTGGAGCTCCCACGAACCCTGCGCATGAGGAATGCTATTCTCTTTCGAATTATGGCATAGTTTTACTTAAGTGGTGGCTATGGAAATTGCCAGAACAATGTTATGGTCTCCACTAAAAGACAGTAGAACCATCTCGTATATAAAGAATGTACAGTGTGTGCCGGTGTAGACTTTTTTTGTTACGGCACAGTGTTAAAGATACAAGATATCTGCTATTGAGATCGTCTTTTCGTCTGCAAAGTGTGATATGGTGAATTCTTCATATTATGGGCGAAGTCAAGCAGTGGCTGTGGCATAGCATGAGGTGCTGCCGCCCGGAGTGCCAGTAGACGCTTGCAGCGCGTGAGGTGGTGGAGCGATGGTGCCGACGCGTCTGTATGCAGCGGTATGCAGAGCGGTAGCGTGTAGCGCTGCAACATTTGAGCGCACGGGGCCGTGGCGCGGTGACGCCGGTGTGGCTGTTGGCGGTACATCGCTGCAGCGCGCGCAGTTACCTCGGCGTACACCAGCAGCGTGCAGCGCTGCAGCGCTTGCAGCGCACGGGGCGACTGCCAGAGACGTCGTTGCGACTGTTGGGGTGCAGTACTGCAGCGCGTAGTTAGAATTACCTCGGTGTAGAGCGGCAATGTACAGTGATGCGGCGCTTGCAGCGCACAGGGTGACGGCCAAGAGGCGTCGTGTAACGGCTGTCGGCATGTAGCGCTGCAGCGCGTGTAGTTACCTTGGCGTAGAGCGGCAGCGTGCAGCGCTGCAGCGCTTGAAGCGCGCGCGGCGGCGGCGCGGCGGCGCCGGTGCGGCTGTAGGCGGCGGCGCAGGCGGCGAGCACTGCGCGCGCCTCTTCAGCGCACACGCCTGGCGCGCGCAACACGCGCGGCCCGCACTCCGACGACAGAACAGCCATGATCGCCGAAGACGACGGCTCGTCCGCCTCTGCAACAGCAAAATTACCTTTTTGTCGCGGTATAAAAGCGCCAGTCACTTAGAATTGAGTATTTTTTTTTCAGACCAATTTTTTATCAGAATATGTTACATTATCATGCCTATGAGTAATTTCCTCTATAATAATAATAATAATATTTTATTTGCATAAAACGTGGTATATAAAAGATGTTTTTACGTTAATATTTATGGCTACAAAAAACATGAATATGTAGGAAGGTAGTTTAATAGGATTAATTTACAATCACAAAATACACGGATCACAGGTAATCAACTATAAATTGTACTGAGACTAATTTAATAGCTGATAATAATAATTAATTCGTTTCCACGAATTAATTATCCGAATAGTCTAGGATGAGCTAGTAGCGGGATACATACAACAAGTGAACCGTGCCACGCCAGAGCCATGACTGGTGACCACAGAACACTATTACTCCTACCGGAGCTGGTGACTGCCTTAACGGCGGCCGCTCCGTTTTATACAATCGAGACAAGTAGCTACCCGAGCGCCACTGCAGGTGCAATGCGCAGGTGTGCGGTGCACGTGTTGTTTACAATGATTCCGACTACGGCACCACCACCACAAAAATACGACCCACAGAGGCACTGCGACAAATACTATATAAATTACAATAATTTAACCACTGATATAATTTTAATTTAAATAATCTGGTATTTAATATTTTTAAGTAATTAGGTATCTTATTATATAAGTACACACAAAAATAAAGAACTTTTACATTTTCTTATTCTAGAAATATCGTTTAGGACAAGCCTATATGGATCTCGGCGAGTACGGGGATTTACATCATCTATCGTTGTAAACAACGTTTTAGCTTCTGTACAAATATGCATACTTCATAGATATAAAGTGATGTTAGTGATAAAAAACCAAGTTTTTTTAACGGATTAACCCCAGCCGCCAGATTTCGTGAACGCACTACGCGGCAAACGTCCCGATACCATCCACAACATCTGGATGCTTGGCAGTCCACCACTGTACATTTCACTAGGAGTTTTCTTCCGCGTACGACCTCTGTGGAATATTTTACCACCGGCGATTTTTCCGGACCGTTACGACCTGGGGACCTTCAAGAAAAGAGCTTACTCCTTTCTAAAGGACCGGAAACGCACCTGCAATTCCCTATTTCCCTATTCCATATCGCTCTATTGTATTTTTTTTGCGCAACAAATGCTTTATTTTGATCAGTGCTGTTGCCCCACACTTATAAGAAAATACTGCAGTAATGATTATACGTATGCATGGTACGACTTGACAGCGGTTTTTGTTTGTTATGTTTTTTATTTGTTTAAGTGCATACACGAATTTATTTATTTCGATAAAAACATCGTAGGTACTAGTATACTATACATCAACAAAGAAGAACAACTAGAGTAGAATTTACCCTCGGAGACGGTGATGAGCATCTTGACGTTGTCGGGCAAGCGCGCGGGCAGCCAGCGTGCGCCGCGCAGCGCGTCCGCGGCCGCCACGCACAGCAGCACGCGCCGGCTGCGCCCCAGCGCGCTCAGCAGCCGCGTCAGGGCGCCCGTTAGTGCACCCACCTCCTGCACGCACATACAGCTACGCCTCTACATCACCTCACTCGCGACTTTTATAGGATAAGGTTAACAACACACAGTCCACCTGGTGGTATGTGGATGATGCGGCCAATATCAGTGCACCGACTAACTGTACACGCACACAGATAAGCGGCAACGTAACCCGCCATTTGTGATTTTTTTATTGAATAAGAATGACAGCACAGTCCACCTGATGGTAACTGGATACTAGGGCCCAATCCCCTATATAAATTATATAAATCTCAAGCAAACCAAGTAATAGTCCCTCTGGCACCAATTAATTGTGTATAAAATTCCATATTTCATCCATTTTTATATTGGTTATATAATTTCCAAGTGCTGCACCTCATGTTTACAACTGTCATAATAAATTCTATAAATCACAAGCAAACCAAGTAAGATCTTCATTTAGCATCAATGAAAATATTATTTTTATTAAAGGGTGACAAAAGAGCCCACAGTCCACTTGCTGGTAAGTGGATACTGTGTAAACTTCTACATTCATCGTCCCCTGACGACTAAAATGAAATAACTCGTTTCCAGGAAATGGGCCTCCGGTTCTTTACACCGTACGAAACATAGCAGCATTAAGCTACTAATTGACGCTGGTATTCTATAAGAGCGTGGTCATTCCATGGTCGAGCTGACCCATTTGTGCTACAACTTTAATATAACTGCAGCGTGGCTCTACCACTTATAAATCACACATTTTTCTTATAATTACACATATACTACGTGACCTCCTGCGACCCCTGCGACACTCGTACGTACATTGTTTCGTACCGACCTCAAGTGCCATTCTAGTAAACCTCATGGTTCAGTGGCTGTCTTAAAGGGAAACAGGTGAATTATGTCAAACTCCCATAGAGTTGACGTAAAGTTACGGGATCTCTATACAGAACGCGATTGCGGCCTCTCCACCTGGGTTATTAATTCAGCCCGTTAGGAGTACTTCCGAAACAATTTTTGTAGTTACTGTTATTCGAGTGTTATTTAATTAATTGCACTTACAAGTGCAGCTGACATTACCGCATTAGATTAGCTGAGGACAGTAGCGGATTTACACTCAGGCCCACGAGGACTGGTACCAACAAAGACCTATATAACCACCATGGTTATACGTGGTTATATTCTCTGTGGGTACCAAGGTGACAGAATTTGGGAGGCTATAAATTTTTAAGGGCACTTTATTGAAAAACCGATAGGATTTGATGTCTACTTAGTCAATTCCATAAGTTAGAGGTCGCAATAAAAACTAGCTTCATGGATAATACCACGAACTTATACCACAGAATGAACAATAGCTTATTCAAAATGTAGTCCATTTATATCAAAACCCGGACAGATAATGCTAACAGTTATATGTTGATGAGCCTATTATGTTTTATGTATAACATGTGTGTTTTTGTATTTTAATAAACAAATTTTCTATTTTTCTTCCTTACTAAGGAATCAAGATTTAAAAATTAATTTTAACATATATTATTCAAGGATATTTCACGAGATAATTTTCGGAAATAATTCTATTTGTACTGTTATCAACTATCATTGACACTATCTTAGGCAGGTCCAGGGCGTCATTAAGGCGACACCGTGAAAAAATGCACCTCCTTTCATCGAATAGTATAGGACTATGACTTCACTAACGAAAGTGGGATTTTGATATAGGTAAATTCATGTCTTTATCTTGAATTTGATTGCTCAAAAACACGATTGTATAATGATTTCTTATATTTACGCGAACACTACACATTGAAATAATACTAATTTTTTTACGGAATTTATCGCGTATATTTAACTTTTTTACCCGACGTTTCGAGAGCTTTACAGCACCCATGGTCACGGGAAGGACTGAGATGTTCAACGTCCAGCTGTCATAGTTAACCGCGGTTACCATAGATTAAAATTTAACTTTTGTTATGTTAAATTTAACTTTTGTTAAGTTAAATTTTAATCTATGGTAACCGCGGTTAACTATGACAGCTGGACGTTGAACATCTCAGTCCTTCCCGTGACCATGGGTGCTGTAAAGCTCTCGAAACGTCGGGTAATAAAGTTAAATATACGCGATAAATTCCGTAAAAAATTAGTATTATTTCAACGATTGTATAATTTTGACTCGATCATAATTATTTGCGAAAACAACTCAAAATCTATAGTTGAAATTACAACGAAATCATTTGATCTAATATGCTTGGGAATCACTCAAATATATTCATAACATCAATATTCATAATTTAATTGCTCATTATTTTGATAACATAAATCAACAATTTTTTTAAAAATAGATCTGACAATTTCTAAGCGCTTTTAATAGTCGCGGGCGCTACGCAATTTTAGACTTTATGACGGCGTTTCTTCAAGTTTTTATAGAAATTATGTATTCACTCGGATCAGTACGGCGATAGCGTTTTCGATGTGTCGTCTTAACTAGTGTAAATACCCCACTAGAGTTACAGTAGATCCTGTATTTATAAATAAATGCAGGTTATACATTTGCCCATGAACTTCAGACATAATTTATGAGCTGGTGGAATACGTGCAATGCTCTCAATAATTTATACTTATTGATTAAAAATTATTTCATGATTTTCTTTTATTATGGATTTCTGCCTTAATAACTGTTTCGTATGGTGAGTGTAGAGATCCGGAGACCCTTTTTTAATGGAAACAAGGCATTCTATCTTAGTCCTCAGGCGTGGCAATGCATCTGCGTTTTGATTCTTAATCGAAGATAGATGTAGATGTCTATGGGCCGCAGCAACCACTTACCATCAGGTGGACTGTGTGCTCGTTTGTAACCCTTATTTTATAAAAAAATGACATCTACATGAAAAGGTGATATGATGGAAAACAGGTATTATTTTACGCTAGCTGAAGATGCATACAGAAAAATCAATATTTACATTTCTTCCACGGTAGACCGTGCCGGTGTGGAGAACGTGACACTGGTCAACAATGGACTTCAGCAGCTGATGGGAACTGCTAGACTGGGATGTTAAACCCACGAACCTGAAAATGAGGAAATTATTATACTGGGTGATTATTTTTACCGTCTGGAAAAAATAGGATGTAACAGGTGAACGGAATGGCACTATGGCCTATGGCACTGATATTTTACAATTTTTTTTACAACATATTATGAAATTGATTTATCGATAAATACTACTAATTGGGTGCGTATTATTTTAAAGTCGATATTTTTTAATTGATTTATTTATTTAGTTTCGTTTTTATTTTATTTATTACCGAAAGTTTATTTAAAATTACTAGTGTTTTAATGGTTCAATTTCATAATATATTAATGTAAAAGCAAAAAAATTGTAAAATATCAGTGCTTCTCTTCCGTTCATCCGTTACACTAAAAAAATCATCCATTATAGATTATCGTGCAGTGATGTTGTGTAAGAACATCCACTACGCTATATTTAACGCCATTACTGGTATTCCGTAATGGCGCTATGCGCGCTCCCGCCTCGGTTGAGCCGATCCTACTGTATCCATAATATACCTGCAGCGTAGCTCGTACCATGTAAATATTTCTACATCTTTTCCTTTACACGGCAACACAGCTCCTATTTTATTAAATTAACCCAGTGTAGCCTACGTCATTACTACGTCATTATATCGCCCAATATCACTTGGTAGATATTTATTGTAAAAGACGATAAAGCGAAAAAATATGGAAGCCGTAGTAATAGCTACAGACTTTTATGTATATATTAAGTGAGGGTATTGTGGTCATCCTGTTAACATGGTCACATTCTTATAACACAAAACCTATGATAGCCTTGTTTGCATAGATGGCTCTGTGATACGATAGCTCTTCATCAGCCAACAAATAATAAGAACTCAAAAGGGCGCTGCTTTATCGACGCCGATTTGACAGTTGACATTATAGTAAATATTTTAGTTGACTTTAGTATTGTGTTAGTTTTTTTTAAGTTAATTTTTCGAAGTGTTCCTAATTATTACCCATGCTCGTTTGTTATTGTTTTTTTGATATGTTATACTATATGGCTTTGGTGTTTTTTGTCTCTGTCCTTCTCTTAGATTTGGTTTTATAAAGCGGCAAAGCTTAAGGTGACTCCCTCCTGCCTATTACCCTCACGTACCTGACCACTAGACTGGCAATTCCGAACAAAACAGTGTTACAGCTGTACAGTTACTGTTTTTAGGTAAATACCAAAATAAAATTGCATACTTATCCGAAATAAACTTCAACTCACGTTGACAAAGTGCGCACGTAAATAAGTTCTTAAAAATAACTTTGGCGGTTTATAAAATAAAGAACTAGTCTTGTCGTTCGCTGTCAACTAAAATTAGCATAGTAAAAACAGTAGTAGTAGACTATCTTCTACGAAATGTACCGAGCACAGCTAATATGAGTATGTGCTTGACACGTGACAGTACGGACTCGTACGCACGAGCCACAGTACGCACACAACGACACTTGCTAAGTCAGAAAGTAATATGTGTGTGTGTGTGTGTGTGTGTACGCCTGGCACGTGACATTACGGACTTGTACGCACGAGCCACAGCACGCACACAACGACACTTGCTATGTCAGAAAGTAATATGTGTGTGTATGTGTGTACGCCTGGCACGTGACATTACGGACTTGTACGCACGAGCCACAGCACGCACACAACGACACTTGCTATGTCAGAAAGTAATATGTGTGTGTGTGCGCCTGGCACGTGACATTACGGACTTGTACGCACGAGCCACAGCACGCACACAACGACACTTGCTAAGTCGAAGAATATAATATGTGTGTGTGTGTACTCCTTGGCAACGTGACATTACGGACTTGTACGCACGAGCCACAGCACGCACACAACGACACTTGCTAAGTCAGAATATAATATGTGTGTGTGTACCCCTGGCACGTGACATTACGGACTTGTACGCATGAGCCACAGCACGCACACAACGACACTTGCTAAGTCAGAATATAATATGTGTGTGTGTACCCCTGGCACGTGACATTACGGACTTGTACGCATGAGCCACAGCACGCACACAACGACACTTGCTATGTCAGAAAGTAATATGTGTGTGTGTGCGCCTGGCACGTGACAGTACGGACTCGTACGCACGAGCCACAGTACGCACACAACGACACTTGCTAAGTCAGAAAGTAATATGTGTGTGTGTGTGTGTGCGCCTGGCACGTGACATTACGGACTTGTACGCACGAGCCACAGCACGCACACAACGACACTTGCTATGTCAGAAAGTAATATGTGTGTGTGTGTGTGTACGCCTGGCACGTGACATTACGGACTTGTACGCACGAGCCACAGCACGCACACAACGACACTTGCTATGTCAGAAAGTAATATGTGTGTGTGTGCGCCTGGCACGTGACATTACGGACTTGTACCCACGAGCCACAGCACGCACACAACGACACTTGCTAAGTCAGAATATAATATGTGTGTGTGTACTCCTGGCACGTGACATTACGGACTTGTACGCACGAGCCATAGCACGCACGCAACGACACTTGCTATGTCAGAAAGTAATATGTGTGTGTGTGCGCCTGGCACGTGACATTACGGACTCGTACGCACGAGCCACAGCACGCACACAACGACACTTGCTATGTCAGAAAGTAATATGTGTGTGTGTGTGAGCCTGGCACGTGACATTACGGACTCGTACGCACGAGCCACAGTACGCACACAACGATACTTGCTAAGTCAGAAAGTAATATGTGTGTGCGTGTGTGTGTACGCTTGGCACGTGACATTACGGACTTGTACGCACGAGCCACAGCACGCACACAACGACACTTGCTATGTCAGAAAGTAATATGTGTGTGTGTGAGCCTGGCACGTGACATTATGGACTCGTACGCACGAACCACAGTACGCACACAACGACACTTGCTAAGTCAGAAAGTAATATGTGTGTGTGTGTGTGTGTACGCCTGGCACGTGACATTACGGACTTGTACGCACGAGCCACAGCACGCACACAACGACACTTGCTATGTCAGAAAGTAATATGTGTGTGTGTGTGTACGCCTGGCACGTGACATTACGGACTTGTACGCACGAGCCACAGCACGCACACAACGACACTTGCTATGTCAGAAAGTAATATGTGTGTGTGTGCGCCTGGCACGTGACATTACGGACTTGTACGCACGAGCCACAGCACGCACACAACGACACTTGCTAAGTCAGAATATAATATGTGTGTGTGTACGCCTGGCACGTGACATTACGGACTTGTACGCAAGAGCCACAGCACGCACACAACGAGACTTGCTATGTCAGAAAGTAATATGTGTGTGTTTGCGCCTGGCACGTGACATTACGGACTCGTACGCACGAGCCACAGCACGCACACAACGACACTTGCTATGTCAGAAAGTAATATGTGTGTGTGTGTGAGCCTGGCACGTGACATTACGGACTCGTAGGCACGAGCCACAGTACGCACACAACGATACTTGCTAAGTCAGAAAGTAATATGTGTGTGTGTGTGTGTACGCCTGGCACGTGACATTACGGACTTGTACGCACGAGCCACAGCACGCACACAACGACACTTGCTATGTCAGAAAGTAATATGTGTGTGTGTGTGCGCCTGGCACGTGACATTACGGACTCGTACGCACGAGCCACAGCATGCACACAACGACACTTGCTATGTCAGAAAGTAATATGTGTGTGTGTGTGAGCCTGGCACGTGACATTACGAACTCGTACGCACGAGCCACAGTACGCACACAACGATACTTGCTAAGTCAGAAAGTAATATGTGTGTGTGTGTGTGTACGCTTGGCACGTGACATTACGGACTTGTACGCACGAGCCACAGCACGCACACAACGACACTTGCTATGTCAGAAAGTAATATGTGTGTGTGTGCGCCTGGCACGTGACATTACGGACTTGTACGCACGAGCCACAGCACGCACACAACGACACTTGCTAAGTCAGAATATAATATGTGTGTGTGTACGCCTGGCACGTGACATTACGGACTTGTACGCACGAGCCACAGCACGCACACAACGACACTTGCTATGTCAGAAAGTAATATGTGTGTGTGTGCGCCTGGCACGTGACATTACGGACTCGTACGCACGAGCCACAGCACGCACACAACGACACTTGCTATGTCAGAAAGTAATATGTGTGTGTGTGTGAGCCTGGCACGTGACATTACGGACTCGTAGGCACGAGCCACAGTACGCACACAACGATACTTGCTAAGTCAGAAAGTAATATGTGTGTGTGTGTGTGTGTGTACGCCTGGCACGTGACATTACGGACTTGTACGCACGAGCCACAGCACGCACACAACGACACTTGCTATGTCAGAAAGTAATATGTGTGTGTGTGCGCCTGGCACGTGACATTACGGACTCGTACGCACGAGCCACAGCATGCACACAACGACACTTGCTATGTCAGAAAGTAATATGTGTGTGTGTGTGAGCCTGGCACGTGACATTACGGACTCGTACGCACGAGCCACAGTACGCACACAACGATACTTGCTAAGTCAGAAAGTAATATGTGTGTGTGTGTGTGTACGCTTGGCACGTGACATTACGGACTTGTACGCACGAGCCACAGCACGCACACAACGACACTTGCTATGTCAGAAAGTAATATGTGTGTGTGTGAGCCTGGCACGTGACATTACGGACTCGTACGCACGAGCCACAGCACGCACACAACGACACTTGCTATGTCAGAAAGTAATATGTGTGTGTGTGTGTGAGCCTGGCACGTGACATTACGGACTCGTACGCACGAGCCACAGTATGCACACAACGACACTTGCTATGTCAGAAAGTAATATGTGTGTGTGTGTGTGTGTGACGCCTGGCACGTGACATTACGGACTTGTACGCACGAGCCACAGCACGCACACAATGACACTTGCTATGTCAGAAAGTAATGTGTGTGTGTGAGCCTGGCACGTGACATTACGGACTCGTACGCACGAGCCACAGTACGCACACAACGACACTTGCTATGTCAGAAAGTAATATGTGTGTGTGTGTGTACGCCTGGCACGTGACATTACGGACTTGTACGTACAAGCCCCAGCACGCACACAACGACACTTGCTATGTCAGAAAGTAATATGTGTGTGTGTGAGCCTGGCACGTGACATTACGGACTCGCACGCACGAGCCACAGTACGCACACAACGACACTTGCTAAGTCAGAAAGTAATATGTGTGTGTGTGTACGCCTGGCACGTGACATTACGGGCTTGTACGCACGAGCCACAGCACGCACACAACGACACTTGCTAAGTCAGAAAGTAATATGTGTGTGTGTGTGTGTGTACGCCTGGCACGTGACATTACGGACTTGTACGCACGAGCCACAGCACGCACACAATGACACTTGCTATGTCAGAAAGTAATGTGTGTGTGTGAGCCTGGCACGTGACATTACGGACTCGTACTCTCGAGCCACAGTACGCACACAACGACACTTTCTAACTCTGAAAGTAATATGTGTGTGTGTGTGTACGCCTGGCACGTGACATTACGGACTTGTACGTACAAGCCCCAGCACGCACACAACGACACTTGCTATGTCAGAAAGTAATATGTGTGTGTGTGAGCCTGGCACGTGACATTACGGACTCGCACGCACGAGCCACAGTACGCACACAACGACACTTGCTAAGTCAGAAAGTAATATGTGTGTGTGTGTGTACGCCTGGCACGTGACATTACGGGCTTGTACGCACGAGCCACAGCACGCACACAACGACACTTGCTATGTCAGAAAGTAATATGTGTGTGTGTGTGTGAGCCTGGCACGTGACATTACGGACTCGTACGCACGAGCCACAGCACGCACACAACGACACTTGCTATGTCAGAAAGTAATATGTGTGTGTGTGTGTGAGCCTGGCACGTGACATTATGGACTCGTACGCACGAGCCACAGCATGCACACAACGACACTTGCTATGTCAGAAAGTAATACGTGTGTGTGTGAGCCTGGCACGTGACATTACGGACTCGTACGCACGAGCCACAGCATGCACACAGCTATGTCAGAAAGTAATATATGTGTGTGTGTGAGCCTGGCACGTGACATTACGAACTCGTACGCACGAGCCACAGCACGCACACAACGACACTTGCTATGTCAGAAAGTAATATGTGTGTGTGTGAGCCTGGCACGTGACATTACGGACTTGTACGCACGAGCCACAGCACGCACACAACGACACTTGCTATGTCAGAAAGTAATATGTGTGTGTGTGAGCCTGACACGTGACATGACGGACTTGTACGCACGAGCCACAGCACGCACACAACGACACTTTCTATGTCAGAAAGTAATATGTGTGTGTGTGCGCCGGGCACGTGACATTACGGACTTGCACGCACGAGCCACAGCACGCACACAACGACACTTGCTAAGTCGGAAAGTAATATGTGTGTGTGTGTGGCCTGGCACGTGACAGTACGGACTTGTACGCACGAGCCACAGCACGCACACAACGACACTTTCTATGTCAGAAAGTAATATGTGTGTGTGTGCGCCGGGCACGTGACATTACGGACTTGTACGCACGAGCCACAGCACGCACACAACGACACTTGCTAAGTCGGAAAGTAATATGTGTGTGTGTGTGCCTGGCACGTGACAGTACGGACTTGTACGCACGAGCCACAGCACGCACACAACGACACTTGCTATGTCAGAAAGTAATATGTATATGTGTGCGCCTGGCACGTGACATTACGGACTTGTACGCACGAGCCACAGCACGCACACAACGACACTTGCTAAGTCGGAAAGTAATATGTGTGTGTGTGCGCCTGGCACGTGACATTACGAACTTGTACGCACGAGCCACAGCACGCACACAACGACACTTGCTAAGTCGGAAAGTAATATGTGTGTGTGTGTGTGTGTGTGTGTACGCCTGGCACGTGACATTACGGACTTGTACGCACGAGCCACAGCACGCACACAACGACACTTTCTATGTCAGAAAGTAATATGTGTGTGTGTGTGCGCCTGGCACGTGACATTACGGGCTTGTACGCACTAGCCACAGCACGCACACAACGACACTTGCTAAGTCGGAAAGTAATATGCGTGTGTGTGTGCCTGGCACGTGACATTACGGACTTGTACGCACGAGCCACAGCACGCACACAACGACACTTGCTAAGTCGGAAAGTAATATGTGTGTGTGTGCGCGCCTGGCACGTGACAGTACGGACTTGTACGCACGAGCCACAGCACGCACACAACGACACTTGCTAAGTCGGAAAGTAATATGTGTGTGTGTGTGTGCGCCTGGCACGTGACAGTACGGACTTGTACGCACGAGCCACAGCACGCACACAACGACACTTGCTAAGTCGGAAAGTAATATGTGTGTGTGTGTGTGCCTGGCACGTGACATTACGGACTTGTACGCACGAGCCACGGCACGCACACAACGACAGTTGATAAGTCGGAAAGTAATATGTGTGTGTGTGTGCGCCTGGCACGTGACAGTACGGACTTGTACGCACGAGCCACAGCACGCACACAACGACACTTGCTACGTCGGGAACATCGGACCGAGTCGGGGACGTCCAACGATGCGCTCCGCAATTACCTTTGTTTGAGACTTTGTTGACGTTTAATAAAATTTTGCTAGCAGTCCTTTTTATTTTTCTTTTTGTAAAATTAATTAATATACGCGTTATTTACGTAAATTTGCCGTTTATGAATAGGTTATATTACTATATCTATACATACAACATCAGATGAAATTAATTTTAAACATTAAATCTGAGCTGTAACCATATGCTCAGTGTTAATTTACTCGTATTTTAGTTATTTGGAATTTGTTGTAATGTAAAGCTGGAATTTTTTTTTGACAAACGTTGATACTTTGGTGTACTTTGAGAGGAAACTAAAGAAATGATTAACAAATATGATGCATAGGTACGTATCCATATGTATTATGTTTGTAAATATTATATCTACATATAAAACTAAATGAGACTTAACTGTTAAACAAAAAGACATTTAAGTCTCGCGTGGGGCGGGAGTTATCATACTATTCTGTTTTTACAATGGTATTAGTATCGTAGTCCCCGATTTGTAGTATACACTATACATAAATGTTTTTGATCTCGCTACCAATCCGCCTCCGCGCCGGCTCGATCCACAGCTGCGACTAGCGCCGCCTGACATTCTTGTTTTAAAATACGTCCTCTATTTCAGACCCGAAAAATTGATTTTGTCTTCTAATTTGAAATCTTTAATAGAAGACAAGGCAATATTGCGCGTATTCGACATTTCTTCTGCTAATTGAGATTAAAGAATGTAAAAATCAGTTTGAGGTGATGCGCGATGTTAGAGAGACAAAGTAAGTTACACAGGTAGTGATACGCATACCGCAAAATGAGCGCGACGGCGGGCAGCCAGGTGTGCGCGAGCGCGGCGGCGCGCGCCAGCAGCGAGGCCTTGCCGCAGCCCGCGCCGCCCAGCAGCGCCAGCGGCACCGAGCTCTCGCCCGTCACGTACCTGCACACGCACGTGTTCACATACCTTATACCATAGAATACTGTAATACACAATAGAATGGCTGTCAACCTTAGTTTGTACGAGAGTCGGCGTCGCCGGGAGCACACATATATGCAATTACGTCGTATTATCACAACTACAAACCCTTTTTGATTAATGTTCAAGATCATCATTAAAAAAATCACTTGAATTTTAATACATATTTATTTGTAAATAGTGTGCAATTGGGCAATTTCTAAATAATTTGCACATTCGAAATTTGGAAACGATTGTAGCTCTCGTGGCGGGGGCTGTGACATTTTAGTGGCTACACGGGCTCCGTCCACTCCCCCGTTCTATATATATGTATTATAGTATTCTATGCCTTATACCTATATTAACATTTATTAGCTTACACCTATTATTTTCTGTCTGGCGCCAATAATATATAATAAAATCCCCAAACACATCAAACAATTGCCTACCAGACTTTTTAAGCTACATCTTAAAAAATATCTGATAGCCAAATGTTATTACAGCTTGCCTGATTTCTTAAGTGATTGATTTTTTTAAGCTAAATAATGAATTGCGACATTTCTCCAATGCGATTAGCCATTGAAATTGTTGCACATATAAAATAATGAACGTAGGGTTAGTTAATTTGACTTTTAGAATAATTAATATATGTAGTATAATTTTTGTACGCCATAAATGGCAAAACATGTAGCTCGTTTTAAGTTTTTTTTAACACCTGTATTTTTTACTCATGTTTTACAAAATAAATATCTTTATCTTTATATTTATATTTACCTACGTCACCCACCCGGCTGTGTTTTAACTTCCCGCTACGAAAATCAATAATTTTCAAAAAATCGGGAAGTTATTGGTTTCACCCCAGTTTTCGAAAATCGAGGTTTTGAGGTCCTAGGAAGCTATTCTGCCTATTCCTATGAGGATGTCACTGTGTGTATGTATAACCAACCTCCTCAACCTCTCAAAACGTTTGAACAGCTTGACCGATTTGAACGAACTTGGTGGCGTTCGAAAGGGTTTCACAAAACTTATATTTTCAATACCGTTTCAACCGATTTGGACCAGTGAATTTTAAGAAATCTTAAAAATAAAATTTTCAAAAAAATGTTTTTTTGGAATATACTATAAATAGATGTAATGATCAATTCTAAAATCTAATCAGTTTTTAAACATGAAAAACGACGTCGATGGCTGCGAACTACTTCAAATTCGATTAATGCGTTAAAGAGAAATCGATGTAGAAAAAATAGTCTAATACACAGAAATAGTAATTACGATTTCAGTGGTCTAATAGTTTTTTTTATAATAGATTTTATTATTGTTCTTGAAATACCTCGTCGATTGCGACCAATTACAAATTACAAAAAAATAACTTTGAAATTTCTGTATGGATCGTTTTTGATGTAATTCTTTTCCAGTGTGTAAAAGCGATGGCTCTATAGTGTATTGGCACGTTGGCTCGAATCTCACATGCAATAACTACTTGTATGGCCAATAAATAATTGTCATTCCAAGACTGGGAGGTTGTTCACAAGTAACTTATGTAAAATAAAACGCCTCAATGATAAGAGAAATCCCAAAATTTATCAATTTACTCACGTTTTAAGCTCGTTGAGGGTAATCTCTCGGTTGGCGGTGCATTGCGCCGCCTTCTGACAGAACGAAAGGTGCTCGCTGATTTCGTCGAATAGACTGGAAATAAATATGACGTAGTTTTAAAGAGACGCTAAGATTTTGAAATCAAATGATAACAAAAGTATCTACTAAGTGGTGGTGGTGAATGAAAATTCAACACCAATACTGTTCTTCCGCCGTTATAACAGAGTGAAAGAGAAAGCACGGGAGATTCATACAAGAGTCTCGCAACCCACAAACGCAGAGTAGGTAAACCTCTAAGGTAGCAGGCAGAGATAGTAACGTGATATTTAGTACTACATACTGAAGTGAGCATCGCGTTATTTTCTGTCTTCCTTCTGTTCTCTCAAAAGCTTCTGCAGTCTCGTTCACTCCAGCAATAAGGCACAATATACGAAGCTTGTTTATGAGTTGCACAGTGCATGCTTCAGTAGCTCTGACATAGGTTTGCCCGATTGGAAGACCAACATATCTGGACAAATTTTGAAAAGGTCAGGATTTTGGGAGTTTTGACGGGAGAAATAAACATAAAAAATAAGAAGTTTATTTTTTTCTGAGAGCAGATTACAAAAAGTTCTTCAAACAAAAATAATTTCAGTACACATAATACTATACGTGGTAGAGCCGTGCTGTAGTTATATTAGTAGTATAGTTGTAGAACGAATGGGTCGACTCGACAGGGGAAAGACCACGCTCTCACAGAATACCAGCGTAAAATAGTAGCTTAATTCTGCTGTGTTTCGTATGGTAAGTGTAGATAAGCGGAGTCCCTTTTTACTGGAAACGAGCCATTCCGTCTTAATCCTCACGGGTGACAACATAAGTTGCCAGATGTATTTGGCACTGGGCTTGACTGGCCACCAATTTGGATACTTTAGTTGTATTCATAAAATATTTAAAATTCAAACAATTAACATTACAGCTCTAATTACCAACTCAGCTTTTATTAAATCAAAGGCCATACGTTAACTTTTTGAGAAGCTGTTTGTCTAGAGATTTAGAATTTTGTCGGGAGTCTGGAGATCATTTAAAATGTTGGGAGAATCCAGACGAATCCCGAACATCTGGCAACACTACTCCGACCACGTCGATAAGATATCTTTTCAAATGATTTTTCAGATGATTTAGGTAGGTAAGTTACTTAACTATACAATATGTAACGTAATTAACGCACACCCTCAGACACCCTAATTAGTATATTATGTTATAATCATAATACATACACTGAATTTTTAGTTAAACATTTTTATGCACTGATTATTTATCAAATTAGTTATACTAATTCCGGAAGAATGTTGTGATCACAGTACAAAACCACGAACGCAAAGACTTTAACGTGCTTGAAATAAAGTTCATTTTTCTTTATTGTTATTTAATTACAGAATTAGTAATAATACAAATAAAACTGCACTCTTAAAAGTCTTATGGCCTTAAGTTACGGTCCATTTCAGTTTGTTTTGACTGTACAGATTTAGTGTGTCTATGATTTACGTAGTTTTATTTTTGGGATATAAAATTTCCTATATTAAAAATGATAGGAATCTATTCAGTAAACGATTCTGAAGAAACTACTTTCTCAAAGTGCGTTAATTGTGTTACGTGTTGTATATAAGCGTTGATCTGATGCTATAAGTGTTAACTATTCACCTGGTGGGCACGCCGCAGCTGCCCGCGGGCAGCTCGTTCTCGGCGATGAGCGTGTCGAGCAGCGCGCCGAGCCGCTCGGCGAGCGCGGCGCGAATACTTTCCGCGTACTCCTCGTCACCGTTTGTCGGACGACCGCGAACACTCGCGCGGATTATGTTGCGTTCGCTCAGGTGCGACTGGGGAATAAAAAAATATTCAATATGAAGGGTATCTTCAGTATAAGCGTTATTTTAATCCTAATCTTATTAACTTCTTGAAATTATTGGATTGGACATTTTTTGTATTTCAACATGCTCTGAAGTCCATAGAATCTAGGGTTATCATTTTAAAATGTAGGGATAGCTGTCTAGGGTGCCTAAATTTATTGATTTTAGATTGAGGCACTATTGAGGTCATTGAGCATAGTGCTTAAGTCCTCCAGCGATTCTGCCATAAGGACTATACCGTCGGCAAATCGAAGGTGAGTGATGTACTCGCCATTGATGTTAATACCGTATCCTTTCCAGTCCAGTAGCTTGAAAACGTCTTCCAATGCAGCGGTGAAGAGTTTCGGGGAAATAACGTCACCCTGTCTTACACCTGCAGTTGGATAGGTTTCGTACTCTGGTTCTGTATTCGGATAGCCATCGTAGCCCTACTGTACAAACACTTCAGCACTTCGATATACAACTTTCACCTGTCTGTCAACTTGGCACCGCTGAAGAGACTGTAGCACCGCCCAAATTTCGACGGAATCAAAGGCTTTCTCATAGTCCACATACGCCAGGCAAAGTGGCAGATTGTACTCTTCGAACTTCTGTACAGTTTGCCGAAGGGTATGTATGTGGTGTATGGTACTAAAGCCTTTTCGGAAACCGGTTTGTTCGGGAGGCTGGAAGTCGTCGAGTCTGCGTGCGAGACGATTCGTAATGACTCTCGAAAACAGCACGTAGACGCGGCTCAGAAGGGTTATCGGTCTGTAGTTCTTCAAGAGAGCGTTGTCACCTTTCTTGAAGAACAAGACCACCGCACTTCTGCTCCACGCCTCCGGAGTAGTGCCACCATGGAGGACGGAATTAAAGAGCCTCTGAAGGAGTTCAAGTACCGGTTTTCCACCCGTTTTCAGAAGCTCCGCTGTAATTCCATCCTCGCCCGGGGACTTGCCGTTTTTAATAATAAAAAAATCACTTATCGGAAGGTCACTTATCGGAATAAAAAATGTTCTATCTCTCAAGTTGGACAAACAATGTGGCACGTAATTTGGTATATAAAAGGTAGTGTAAAAAGGATAACGGTTTCAAAGCTGTATGTGCCATGTGTAAAAAATAGCGAACGTAGGCGCGAATCGGTATGTTTATTTGTTTATAAACACTTGTGAAATTAAAAAAAAATATCTGCCTAAAAACACAATTGTCTCAACCGTTTGTCTAAAATGTCTATCAAAAGCTGCAAATGCCTGTCGTATGTAAACCCTACTAAAATCTGATCTCTGTGTTTGGTGAGATCAAATTTTAGTAGGGGTGACAAGATAATATGACCAGAATCAAGAAAAAAAATGCTTAGGTGGTTTGAACACGTAGAAAAAATGAATGAGATATGACAAGGTTTGCTTGAGACGGAAGTTATTCAATTTATTAAGGATTTATTATGTCGATTAAATTGGACTAAATTAAGAGCATCTTTAAATGACGAGCATGTGTGCGTAATAAATAATAGTTAATAAATATTAACGGATGTGAAAGAGTGGAAAGAAAGAAATGGAAGTCCGTATTGTCTGTTTACCCTTTGAGTGAGGTCTACGCAAAATGTACGACGCCATATTTATTGATTTAGCTCACCCCTTATTTTGTTTCCTGGAATTGTTTCTCCCAGAAAATACACATACAGATACGTCTCTTCTACAGATTTATTATATTGTGTATAAATTTTAAGATTTTTTTTACGATTTTTACTCATTCTTTTTCTTAAATAAAAGTAGTCTAAGTTACTCCTTATAAAGTCAGCTGCTGATAGTGAAAGTTCCGTCAAAATCGGACCGACAGATCAGATAGACAGGCAGGCAGACGAAAATTTTAGATTTTTTTTGTTATGATACCATATATGAATTTAGTCAAAAGCTGTTATTTTAACATTACAAACAGACGCATCAATTTTATTTATTTTTATAAATTTAGTTTATTACTTGACTACCTAATACGTTAAATAAACTATTTATTAGGATTATATTGCTTTTAATATTTTTTTAAATATAATAAATCATTACTCAATACGTGTATATCGGGCTTAACGTGTAACGTTACAGTTACACGTTAAGCCCGATATACACTTCATATTATATACGTAGCCCGATACACATTAGCACTGATATATGTTTGTGTGCGTGGCACGTCAAGCGACAAGCAGCGACTTACGTTTGCAGCAGCTTAGGAATGGTTGAAGTGGAAGGAGATGAAGACTTTTTCCTATATTACTTTTATTTTACAATTTAAAAGCTAACTTGCTACTGTGACAATGTGAGTACACAGGAATACTAGACTACCTAACTTACAAACCTACTTAACTACGACTGGGCTGTCTTAACAATTATACCTTGATTTTTATACTATATTGAATATTCTTACGTCACGTAATTAAATTGAGTCCCATCTCCTGATGGCACTGTGTTAAATATTCTTAAGTCACGTTGTTGAATAAGTTTTATTTGTTTAGTTGTTATTTGCTTAGCAGGCGTTGCTATATGGTAGGTGACTTCCTGATTGCTTGCAAGGTTTCGGTTCGCATATGTAACTAGCGTGTATGCGTGCATGCGGGCGAGTGTATGTGTGTGTGTGTGAGCGTGTGTACCGAGCGGTACCTTGAGGTCCTTCTGCAGGTTGGCGAGGCGGCGCTGCAGCTCGGCGCCGTGCGCGGGGTCGGCGCCGTCCGCGTCGGGCTCGGGCGGCGCGGCGCCGCGGCACACCCACACGCAGCGCCGCGCCGCCTCGCTGCTCATCAGCACCGAGTGCTGCACCTCCTGTGCACAAACCACTTATTTTCCAAAGACTACACAAATTTTATATATAAGTTCAAAAATATAAATAATGATACACAGTTATTGCAATTGTCCCGAATTGAAAGCGATTTATGGACAACAACTACGCGTACGCGCGCTCCTCTGTGTGTGATTCAATTCACAACGTTTTAGCCCGACTGAGCGAACCTTGTGAGTAATGAGTATGTGAGTGCGTAGTATATTAGTAGGCGTTAAATATTTATGAATGACAATCAGTGAAAATAATGCATTACCACGCATTCTCAGTTTAAAGGATAAAACGGACAGAATGTTTGTGTTTTTTTCCTTCAACATTCGTCTAAATTACTTGTTATGATCTTTTTCTGGTGAACATAATGCAAAAGAACCCTATATAAATTATATACAAACCAAGTAGGATCTCCAACTGCATCAATGAAAGTATTTTTTTACAGAATAAGAGTCCTCCTGGTGCTGCACCTCCTGTGTTCACAATCCTCACTAAAATTCTATTAATCATTGACGAAGCAAGTTGAATCCTCGCCGGCACCAATGAAAGTATTATTTTTTATAGAATGATAGTAACCAACGAGCATACAGTATATTGGGTCCTTACATATGAAATTAGCCTTTTGTCGTACTGACCACTTTGATCTGATATCTCTGCTCTTTGGTTAAGAATTCCAAATTCAAATTTATAAATTCATTTAGCTGGTTCATTTGAGTTTTGAAAACAGTCATTCATTTGTTTTTTCCTCATTAGTTTTATCTTTGGCGTCGCTTATTACCGCACAGTGGAAAACACGAAATATCGGTTAGGAGTACGAGTTCTACCGTGGCACCAGAAACAGCTCGAAGGATTAATGATGTGTACGGCACTGGTGTCCTAAAAGAAAGCACGGTACGTTTTTGGTTTCAACGTTTTCGTTCTGGAAATTTCGACCTTCAGAACCAACCCCGTGGACGGCCGGAGACCAAAGTGGAAAATGAAGAATTAAAGGCTATTGTGGAAGCGGATCCATCAAAAAGCACTTCAGAGATAGCTGCAGGCTTCGGCGTAAGTGATAAAACTGTATTAATTCACTTGAAGCAAATCGGGAAAGTAAATAAAAACTTGAACGATGGGTACCTCTGAATTGAGTGAATCGAACTTGCAAACACGCGTCGACTGCTGTGTTACTTTGCTCAACCGACACAAAAATGAAGGGATTTTAAATCGAATCATTACTTGTGATGAAAAGTGGACACTGTACGATAATCAGAAGTACTCGTCGCAATGGCTGAACCACCAGGAATGGCTGACGCAGCCAAATCCTGCCCTAAACGAAAATTGACTCAGAAAAAGTTACTTGTGAGTGTTTGGTGGACTAGCGCCGGTGTCGTTCACTACAGCTTTCTAAAATCTGGCCAAACGATTACGGCAGATGTCTATTGTCAGCAACTGCAAACCATGAAGGAAGAACTAGCTGCTAAACAACCGAGTTTGGTCAATCGCTCTAGGCTACTACTGCTTCACGACAATGCAAGACCACACACTGCACAACAAACAACCACTAAGTTAGATGAGCTACAATTGGAATGTCTGCGACATCCACCGTACTCCCCGGACCTTGCTCCAACAGATTACCACTTTTCCGGAATTTGGACAACTTTTTACAAGGAAAAAAATTCAACTCCGATGCTTCAGTCCAAACCTCCTTCAAAGAGTTTATTGATTCTCGCCCCCATGTTTTTTTTTAGTAAACGGATCAATGAACTACCTATGTGATGGTAAAAGTGCATAGATAACAACGGTGCATACTTTGATTAATTAAATAAATTTTACAAAAAAATTGACTTTATATTCCTCCCGTACAAAACGCAAATTTCATATGTAAGGACATATTATTTAATGGTAAATGGATACTGCGGCCCGTAGACGTCTATGTCTTTTTTTAATAGCGTTGGGTGATAAACGAGCACATGGTCCACCTAATGGTAAGTTGATGCTGTGGCCCATAAACATCTAAATTTATCCTCAATTAAGAATCACGTCACCCCTGAGGACTGAAGTGGAATGCCTCGATTCCAGTAAAAAGGGTTTCCGGTGCTCTACATTCACCTCATGAAACACAGCAGCATTAAGCTACTATTTTACGCTGGTAATCTGCGAGAGTGTGGTCCTTCCCCGATCGAGCCGACCCATTCGTGCTACTACTATAATATATCTGCAGCGTGGGTCTACCACATAATAAAAGTTTATTTTGTATCCTCGTTTAATATCTATCCTTGATTACGAATGAAAATGCAGATGCGTTGTCTCCCCCGAGGACTAAAGAACGCCTCGTTACCAGGAAAAAGGGTCTCTAGACTCAAAGGAACAAAAAATATTTCTAAGATGTTAAATGAAATATTAATAAGATACGTCCTACACGTTTTTTTTTCGCCTTTTGGGTAACTTAAAAGGCGATTGGGGCAAATGATCTTATGGATTTCGATAGATGGCAGCATAAACATCTCGTTTCTCATTACAGCCTCACAGACCATTATTATAATGGCTTTCTAAACCCTTAAAACCGATCGAAAGACAGTAGTGTAACTTACCTAGACTAACTTCAAGGCAGGAAAGAGTCCTTATAGTAATTTTTTTTCATTACCTTTTCAGAAATGTAGACTGACTACCTATACGTGGTAGAGCCACACTGCAGCTATATTATAGTTGTAGCACGATTGGGTCGGCTCGACCGGGGAAGAACCAAGCTCTCACAGAATAGCAGCGTAAAATAGCAGCCTAATGCTGCTGTGTTGCGTATGGTAAGTGTAGAGATCCGAAGACCCTTTTTTAATGGAAACGAGGCATTCCGTCTTAATCCTCAGGGGTGATAATGCATCTGCGTTTTGATTCTTAATTGAGGATAAATGTAGATGTCTATGGGCCACAGCATCCACTTACCATCAGGTGGACTGTGTGCTCGCTTGTCAGCCTTATTCTATAAAAAAAGAGAGAAAGGCATTCTCGAGCCGTGGGACGTATATTATAAGGCTATATGCTGGTTACTTGTGCAGGTACAGACCTGTTCTACGACGGTGGTGAGGTACGCGTCGCAGGCCTCCTGCGGCAGCGTGCGCACCAGCACGCTCAGCGCGCGCGCCATCTCGCGTCGCCAGCGAGCTGGTGCGCCTCGCGCCAGCCGGTAGCACGGCGGCGTGCTGCTGTCGTCGAGACTGTACCTGTTGCATGCGTTTAGAATACAATTATTATAGAATTCGAATATAATTGTTAAAATATGGTGGTTTGGTGGCAATAAGTTGTTAGTTTCATATATTATTCTTTCGTGGGTCAAAAGATACTGGCTTTGGGGGGGAGATATGCCTATCCCTTTGATTATATATATATATATATATATATATATATATTTATACTAGTATATATAGGATGATATGTATATACATAACAATATCTTGTAATGAAACTGAAGTTACTACCGAATGTTCAGTCTACATTCTACATTCACTCTTTGCTATATTTCAACCTATTTCTGTTAAACCGATCAGCAGGAACTATAATAACGGTCACCAATGGCAATAATCTTACCAACAGTAGAACACTAAACTGTTACCATAAGCTTCTTCTGGTTAATCTTACGTTACGATCACTGTCTGGTTTGGACATCTGGATATAACCACGGTGATTAACATTTGTGAAGGTTTGTGAAGGATCCACTTCTCATACCAGATAACAATTCGAATCAAAATTGTCTCCTTTCTATTCTGATTCAGTTATATGATACAGGCTACGACGCGGGCCCCTTCTGTGCGTCACTCAGTTTGAGAAGTATTTACCTATTTGTCAAGCTTCTTTATTTTACCGATTTGTCACAAATGATCTAAGTAATATTATTTTGATAAATCAAAAGCCGACGCCAGCTTAGTTGTAGTTTAGATTCGCTTCCATTATCGCCTTCAGTTCGTCATAATCAACTTTCCTCTCGGGCGGACATGAGGTTCATTTGTGGGGACAATATTTTCCAAACACAAATGGTAAAATTAAAAATTTTGTACAACCGACTTCAATATAAATAAAATGAGAACACCATTAATGTATTTGAAGTCAATTAAATACGCATTATTAAGGATAACTGAAAAAGTACGGGCCAGATCTTGATCAAATTATATGGGACCATACAACGATACGAGCCGTGGTAGCTCAGATTGTTAGCGCTCGCTGTAAATTTCACAGCGCGAGAGCAAACCAGGTTCTATCCCCGCTGGCGCCAATGAAGTTGTTAAATGCAATTTTAAGTGCTGATTTACCACGTGCTCAGCGGTGAAGGAAAAAATCGTGAGGAAAACTGCATGTCTGAGAAATAAGAAAAAAAAATATTTCGAAAACATGTGAAGTTCGCCATATAAAACGTGAAAAGTCTGCTTTTCGCGCCCACTTCACCTTAAATATGACATTTGTTTGGATTTAGAATTAAGTTTAAAGTGGCCGGTTCAACCGTCAGTAATGATAGTAATTATTAAGCTGTACCATTTATTCAGCAATATCTTGTCGTTCTCATCTTCTGCGGCTTCTAGCGCGGCCTTGAAATCCGCGCACTCCAGCGTGTGCGGCAGCAGGGGTGTGCCGAGTCCCGAGTTAAGAAACAGTACAGGTACCACTGCGCCAAGCTCGGATTGACCTAGAATATAAGACATAGATACTCAGAAGTAATATAAGACATAGATACTTAGAAGCGGATTTAGAATGTCCCAATTTAGGAGATTTAGAACTAAGGATGGTGGTAATATATGAAAGTATTTACCCGTTTGAAAAGTACCGTTGTATAATGATTTCTTATATTTGTCGAACACTACCTATTTAAATAAAACTAGTTTTTACGGATTTTATCGTCTGAGAGTGCAGACTGCAGATTTCTGTCAGTCTGCAGTCTGTGAACGCGTACAGGATCGCCCCCGTCACTACGTAGGATTTTATAGACTACAAATCCTCGCTAAAGAACACCGATTCCTTCCAAGGATGATTCGCGAATCTATTGAAATCGAGGCTATTGAAATCAAAAAATACCCTAATTTCAATAGAGAAGATAGCTACCATCTGCTTGGGATCCTATAATAAATAAAAGTAAATCCCAACCCAAGCATACAACTGCAAGACTTCAAGATACTATAAGTTCATACTGCGTAATTCGGAACAAAAAAAATTAATTCTGTCGGTAACCGCGGTTAACTATGGCATTGGGAAGAACCGCTGTTAACTATTTTTTTTTTCAAATAATAGCTTACAATCATGTTTACAATCAAGACAAATTAGAAATAGCTTGGTAGCGATCACCATTCCCAGGGGTTATTATCATCCATAAATTCCGTAATATTATAATAACCCTTTTTATACAAACTTAGTTTAACGTCGAAAACCTCAGTCTCCCCGTGACCATGGGTGCTGTAAAGTACACGAAACGTCGGAAATATAAAAAAGTAAATACGCGATAAAAAAATTCGTAAAAACTAGTTTTATTTAAAAGTACCGTTGTGGCTCACAAAAATATGCGTTTACCTTTAAACTTTCACCGGCACTAAGGAAATGGTTAGTTGGAATTATATATAATTTATTGATATATTTAATCACTAGCGATCCACCCCGACTTCGCACGGGTGATTTCTGGATCTCGACAACAGCGCCACCTACCGGGTCCAATTATGAATCTACACCATCAAAAGAGCCACTTAAACACACAAAAAATATCATCAAAATCGGAGCTTTAACGAGACTGATAGACCGCAATTGTTTTTTTAAGCTAGATGATCTTTTTTACCGTCTGGAAAAAAAATAGGGCGTAACATGTGAATGAAGCAGAAGCCTATGGCACTGATATCATCATATGGCAGGATCTTCAGGAGATGTATACTCTACTAAAACACTAGTGTGGGGTTAACATTTTTTAAAAACATAAAGATAAAAATAAAAAATCATCAAAAACGGTTCACATTTGACGAAAATTTCGCGTAAACAATAAGGTAAAAATAAAAGTTTTGTACGAACGATTTCAATATAAATAAAATGAGAACATCATCAATGTAGTCGAAGTCAATTAAATACGCATTATTAAGGATTACTCAAAAACTACTGGTCAGACCTCGATCAAATTTATATGGGACAACATGAGAAGCTCTAGCTTTAGCCAATTAAAAATAGAATCATCACAGTTGATTTACCTAGAAAAAATTCTAAGGTATAAAAAATACAGTCGAATTGAGAACCTCCTCCTGTTTTGTAGTCGGTTTGAAATAATACTATACAATCGAATTGTGAACCGCCTCTTTTTAAAGTTGACTGAAAATATATTAAGCGACTATGAAACCGATCTGCGGAATTTAGCAATTAACGGTACAGATGAGAAAACAACATAAAAAATGTTCTTTCCCCAGGAGACTGACAGAACAATACTTGTGTCGATGACTTGCTCGTATAAAGTTGTTGGTTTTGTTATTGGTTGCGGGTAATTAGGAGTTTTTGTTTAAGTTTATCTTTACATGAATATCATTTCATTTCTTTATAGGATAGGGTGACAAACGAGCACACAGTCCACTTGATAGTAAGTAGTTACTGTGGCTAATAAATATCTACATCTATCCTCGATTAAGAATCAAAATGCAGAGGAGTTGTCACCGCGCGCGACTATGATCATTCTCCCATTTCCAGTAAAAAAGGGTCTCCGGTTCTCTATACTCACCGTACGAAACACAGCAGCAGCATAGGGCGCTATTTCTAGCGTGAGCGTTAGAGCCATGCCGCAGCTATAATATGGTTATAGCACGAATGGTTCGGCTCGACCGGGAATTGACCACATTTTATATATTTATTTATTTATGCTTTATTTGTACACCAAGTACAAAAAGGCGGACTTAATGCAACAAGGCATTCTCTGCCAGTCTACCTCTAGGCTAAGCAGAGAAGACATATTACGGTACGTATTATAAACATAATTACACATATATTATATAGATATACATACAATATGTATAAACATTTTCACAGAATACCGGCGTAAAATAGCAGTTTGAAGTTGCTGTGTTTCTTATGGCGAGTGTGAGAATCTCTTTTACTGGAGCCGAACCTTTCATCTTAGTGTTCAAGGATGACGCAACTGTCTTTTGATTCTTAATCGAGGATAAATGTTGATGTGTATGAGCTATAACATCTACTTTCAATCAGGTGGAATGTGTGCTATTTTCTCCTTTATTGTATTAAAAAATTGTTATTATCCCAAACCTTACATAAAAATCTAAGGTAAGTCTGATCCGATCGTCGAATCCAGAATTAAAAAAACGTTTCGATATGTAGTTTACGGTAAAGTAAGCGAATGATTTACACAACCGTTAATAAATTACACTTACAATTACTTTTTGTTGAAACACTGACGCCGACTTCACGATCCACCACGCAGTGAACAATCAAAGCTACAGTGACGTTGAATTTTGCTAAATGACCTAAATTTCGTTAACCTAATTTTTTTTTTTTTTTGAAACGCACCCCACGGGGGGGTGGGGGGGGCGCCGCCCCCCCCCTCTTCTCTCCTCCAAAAAAAAAAAAAAGAGGGGTGTTTGTTTGGGGTGGGAGGTTTTTGTCTCGGGTAAAAGGATCCGGTTCTTTTCTCTTACCATGAAACACAACAAATTTTTTTTTTTGGGGGGCCTTCCCGGGCGGCCGCTCGCCGCCTGGCTCTCCACGTATTTAAATGTGAATTTGTAATATTACGTCGTCGCCGTCCAGAGTTCAATCGGATTATACATTTCATAACAGAATAAACGTTTGTTATTAAATTTAAACTAAAGAAAATCATTGAAGGCCTTTCCTGTCCTTGCCTGGACAAGAGTTAATTTCTTACGAAAACACTTTTAGTATCTACTCAAGTAATTTACTAATGGTTGTGTCAACCACTCAGTTTAAAGTAAACTGACACTTTTGACTATTGACTTTTTGATTATATCACTATTGTCTTAAAACTTGTTTGTTTAGTGTACGGTGACCGTTGTATTAAGTGGACGTGTAAGACGAATTACTTCAAAATTATAATTTTACGAATTAAGTGCCTCATTAAAATTGAATCTTAACGGATAGAACAAAGTGCTAATTTGGATTGTACAGTGCATTCACATACGATTATTCAGAACCTTGCGCGACCTCTTCACCGCCTCGAGAGTGATATTAAGACATATAAAAATACCAACAGCCCCTCTTCACTCGCTAACCCGCTGCCGCTTAGCTACGAGACCATCACCCTAGAAATACAAGATCGGTGCAATCGGCAGAAAAATATTATAATTGCGGGTATACCTGAGTTAAATGATAAAACCTAACTAAAACAGCCGCGAACACGATATGCAGGAGGTTTCTAAAATAATTATGAGTATTTATGAAAACTGCCCAAAGCCGAAAATAATTTTCCGATTAGGCAAACATATTCCGGGTAAAAATCGAAATATAAAGGTTTGTTTTGATTCGCAAAACTCTGCGAACTATATATTACGTAAGCGTACATTAACGAACACTAAAAATATACATATTTACTGGGATCAAACTCCCGCCCAGCAAAAATATTTACGGAACCTGAAGAATGAGCCTACTCAATGCCAAAGTGGTGAAACAGAGTTAAGTATTAAATACTCGAATGGAATTCCCAAAATTACAAAAATCATTCCAAAAAACGGCAAGTGATGTCAGAACCACCTATAAGCGAACCACTTACCTACCAGATTTCTCATGACTATGGCAATGTTATAATGACTTCCTCCTCACTAAAATTCTTTTACGCAAATGTTAGAAGTTCACTAAAACCGGGAAAAATTGACGAATTAAGATGCATTATTAAATATAGTATACTTAAAAGTATACTATACATTTAATATTACTAACAGAGACTTGGATTAAATCAGAAAGCGACGCAAATACAATAAAAAATCCCAAACTATTCACACATATATAACTATAGGACTGACTGCATTGGTGGGGGAGTGTCAATATATGTGCACAATAATTTAGCTTACACACTTATGGAAGAAAAATATGTCGATGGAAACAACTTCCTATGGATTTATTTAGAGAAATGCAGCTTAAATATTGGACTAGTTTACCGACCACCCACAACTAATATTGAAATTTTTTACTACACAGTTGGAGCAAAAGAAAAGATCAATAGTTCTTGGCGATTTTAATATAAATATATTAAATAAAGACCGTTGCAGCAATAAATATAACTATATACTTCAAGAATCAGGATATAAAATACTTAATAAAATTAATATACAGTATTGTACCAGAAACTTCTAAATCGATCCTTGACCATGTCTGTACAAATACCAATAACGTTTTTCATGTGACTATAATAGACGCACCTCTATCGGATCATAAACAAATTTACTGTGAATTTAAAAAATATAAAAAGGAACCCAAGAAAAAAATTAAGTATGCTGCAATAAATTATGATAATCTTTACAAGGATATGGCTAAAAATAATCTTCAGATGACAGATTACGACTACAATCAATTGCAAAGTTTCATTAAAGACAGTATTGAGAACCATAAAACTATTAAATACAAAATACAAAATCTACCCCAAGACGACTGGATAAACAAACGGATACTGAACGGAATTAGAAACCGCAATATGCTGTGGATAAA